CTGAGCTGGCAGTCAGCACAGAGCCCGACGTGGGGCTCGAACCCACGAACCGCGAGATCATGACCTAAGCGAAAGTCGGACGCTTAACCGACTAAGCCACCCAGGCGCCCCTGGAATATCCTTTTCTATCCCTTCACTTTCATCTGTGTGTGTTCTCACATCTAAGAGTCTCTTGTAGGCAGCACTTAGATTAAAAAACAAAACCTACTTAGCCACAGGCTTTTTTTTGTTTTTTTAGTCCTTTTTGGGACACCTAGGTGGCTCAGTTAGTTAAGTGTCCAACTTCAGGGCATGATCTCACGGTTTTTGTGTTTGAACCTCACATCGGGGTCTCTGCTGTCAGCACAGAGCCTGCTTAAGATCCTCTGTCTCCCTCCCTCTCTCTCCCCTAAGCATAAACATTTTTATTTATTCATTTGTTTAATATCTATACCCAGCATACGGCTCAACCTCATGCCCCAAGATCAAGAGTTGCATGCTGCCCATTTAGCCAGTGTTTTTTTTTTTTTTAATGTTTTTATTTCTGAGACCGCGTGAGCAGGGGAGGGTCAGAGAGAGAGGGAGACACAGAATCTAAAACAGGTTCTGAGCTAGCCATCAGCACAGAGCCCGACGTGGGGCTCGAACCCACAAACCGTGAGATCACAGCCTGAGCCGAAGTCGGACACTTAACCGACTGAGCCACCCAGGCGCCCTAGCCAGTGTTTTTTGATTGGCATAGTCTATTGCATTTAAAGTATAATTATTGGGGTGCCAGGGTGGCCCTGTCAATTCAACTTTGGCTCAAGATCTCCTGGTTCGTGAGTTTGAGCCCCATTGTTGGGCTCTGTGCTGACAGCTTGCTTCTGATTCTGTGCCTGCCTCCCTCTCTCTCTGTCCCTCTCCTGTTTGCACTGTCTCTCTCTCTCTAAAGCATAAACATTGGTAAGTATGTACTTGCCATTTTTTATTGTTTTCTGTTTCTGTAGTTCTTCTCTGTACCTTCTCTTGTTTTCTTCTTTTGTGGTTTGATGATACTCTCTAGGGATATGTTTATATTCTTTTTTATCTAGTGTATATTTACTGTAAGTTTTTGTTTTGTAGTTAAGATTAATCTAAGTAGAACTTTATCAATAAGTCTATTTTAAATTGATAAAATAGTTGCCAACTTAAGTTTGATCACATTCTAAAGCAAACATTTTTATTTTTATTCCTCTATTCTGTTTTTGATGTCACATTTTACATCTTTTTATCTTGTGTATCCCTTAACTATTGTAATCAGTTACAATGTTTTTACTTTTGTCTTTCTATTTTACTTTTGTGTTTTTAACCTTAATAAGTGATAAAGACATTTTTATTTTTATTTTTATTCCATTTATCTTTCCAGTGAGATTTGCTCTTGTGTTCCTGTTTCTGATTAGTGTTTTTTTCAGCTTACAGAGGTTATTTTAGCATTTCTTGTACAGCTGATTTAGTGATGATAAACTCTCTTGGCTTGTCTGGAATATTAGTTCTGAATGATAACTTTGCTTGGCTGGAATTTTTCTTCTTTTAGCATTTTGAATACATTTTCATTCCCTTCTTCCTGCCTTTAGGGTCTCTTTGGGTTCTTCTTGTTTGGAACTCTCTGGGCCTCCTGGATCTAGAGGTCTGTTTCCTTCCCCACATAAGGGGTGTTTTAAGCCATTCTTTTTTCAAGTAAGATTTTTCTTTCTCCTCTTCTTGTAGCTCTACAATGAGAATGTTAATCCATTTGATGTTGCTTCTTTAAGTTCCTTAATTTGTCTTTTTTTTTTTCCCATTTCTTTTCCTACTTACTGCTCTGATTGGGGGAATTCTAGTGCTTTGTCTCTGAGTTCACTTACCCTTTCTTCTGTTTCATCTGATCTGCTGGTGAACCCCTCTAGTGTTATTTCTCAGTTCAGTTATTCTGTTCATCAGCTCCATGACTTGTATTTTTCATAGATTTTCTATCTCTTTGTTGAAGTTCTGTGTTCATCCTTTCTTCTCCCCACCTTCTCCCCAGTTTGGTATCTTTATGACCATTATTTTGAACTCTTTATCAGGTAGATTACTTATGTCTGTTACCACTGAGGTGTGTTTTTTTGTTGTTGTTGTTGATTTTTTATATTTGAGAGAGAGGGAGATGGAGGATCTGAAGCTGAGAGTGCAGAGCTCGATGCAGGTTTGAACTCACAAACTGACTTGAACCGAAGTCAGACACTTAACTGAGCCACCGAAGTAAATGCCCCTTCCCTGAGGTTTTTATAAGAGATCTAGAATTCATAGTGAAACATTCACATCATAAGTGAGCCAAGAGAACAAAATCAACTCCAGATTGGGGTATGTTTAAATTACCTGATACATCATAAAAGAGTGTCCTAAAAACTTGGAAAATAGGTGCTTTAAATTACATACATCCTTATGAAGGCATTTTACTGGTCATTAGGCTAGGTGTAAGGGCTAATCAACCTGTCACATTTCTGAATCTTTGCTGATGGGCTACTTTCTCATTTTTAGTTATCAATTTAGTTCTATTAACAAATAAGTGGAGAAGGGGCTTGGATCTAATATGGTGAAGAGGCAAGTAACAGAAAATTTGAGTCATTCTATAAAACATTGACCAGGAAAAAAAGGCATAGGACAGCTTAAAAGCAGCAGCAGCTGAATTTGGGAATGCAGGAGATCTAGGAACTGTGGGTCAGTATGACCAACCTGGCTAGGCCCAAGAAGGGAGGTTAAAAATGACTTCTCTAAAGTCAGCCAGCCTTTGCAAGTAATTGGGGGCCAGAGGTACCAAGGTAACCTTCAACAAGAACTTCAAGTCAGGAGAAAGACCTCATGTCCCAGGCCCCAAAAGAGCTTTTTTAAATCTGCATTTACGAACAGCTGCACACCTGGCCTTTGGGGTCTGGATGTTGAACTTCAGTGTTTCAGTGCTCAAGAACCTGCATGTGAACAAGCTCCTGTGGTGCGTCCCACGAAGGAGGCTCAGACTACACTTGGAGAAACACTGCAAGGTAGTGACTCCCTCTGGTTGGAGCTCTCGGGCTTCTCTGCTAGGCGAGTTTCTCAAGGTAGGTATTTCCTAAACTCCTTCCCACCCCCACCTAAAACACCTAGGGCTCCACTCGTTGGGGGTTCTGCTTTATTAAGTTTAAGGTGTATTTTTAACAAATTCTGATGGGCAGCCAAGTTCAGAGTTTCAAATGCCTAGTTCAGGGTTGGCTTATATAAGAAGGGACCACCGTATATACAGATTTTTTAAAGTTGAGTTTGAGAGAGAAAATCCCAAGCAGGCTCTGTGCTGTCAGCACAGAGCCCAATGTTGGGCTTGATTCAGAGCATGAGCCAAAGAACCGGACACCTACCCAACTCAGTCACCCAGGCTCCTCTAGGGGACCACCATATTTTAAAGCAGAAACCGTCCCTAACTTTATGAAATTCTCCATCTATCAAAAAGTCTACCAGTTTGAGATAATAATTATTATGCAACCCCATTTTGAAGGGTGGGGCATGGGGACACTTGTCACCAGAAAGAACTAAAGTGGTGAAGTCCCTCTGGGGGACAGAAGTTGGATTAGATAAATCTCTACTAATGACTGAATTAGATCATCCAACCAAGTGTAAAGTGTTGCTCTTTCCTCAAACCGGAGCCTGGGGTGTTATTAAGCAAGCAAGCTATAGCTTGTGAATGGAGTAAATTATAGCTACTACTGAGGACTTACTAAGTTTCTACTAGACCACTGGCTACAAGTGACTTAAACAGTAAATACGTCACCAGAGCTCCTTGTCAAATACTTACAGATCTTGGCTCTGTTTCATCCGGTGGAAGTCCTTCAGGATCCCCATCATATCTGCAAAGCTGCTGGCCTTGGATAGAGAGACACAGTCATCGTCTTCAGACGAACTGCAGGTAGCCTTGTGTTCTGGTCTGCAACATTCGGGGCTGGCAGAACAAAGCAGGGGGACTGATGGAAGCTCAGGGACCTCTACCTCGGTCTCCTCGGTGATGTCACTAATGACAAAGGAAGTTGTAGAGTGGAATGAGGATCCAAAACAAGGTAAGGGAGAAGAAACATTTGAACTTCCTGGAGATAAGAAATCTGGCGTTAATGAAGCCGAAGCTGAAAGAGAAAACAAAGGCATGGATGGACATTGGGGCTAGAACACAGCAGTAATATCTTCTCCCCACAAGCACTGCCTACCAAAAACACTCATTTCCTGGGCTGACACCATGACATTCTGGCAGAGTCCAGGACAGTACGTGTAAGCCAGTGGAAGATTCTTCCACTACCCTCCCCTCTCAGGCTCTAAAGAAGATAGAGAAGCACTGAGCTCTTCCAGTGTTCTGGGAGTGTGGAAAAACCTACCCCATAAAGGCTTAGGCACCTAAAATCTCCCATTCTGGGCTATGGAGTGACAGCCCTATTTCGACCAAAGCAGCAGTAACAGAACCAAGGTCAGAATTTGTCCTTTCTCTAACTGGGCTATGCTTCTGAGTGACTGGAAGAGTAGCAAAAACAGAATGGTGATAGTCCTCCTAGTTTCTCAAAACAAAAAGATTTTTAAGTTTCATTTTTCATCAACTACTTCAGCTTGTCTCTTGGATGATACAAATGTAGCCAACATATAAATGCAAAGTTCAAGTCTACTTTCTTTATACAACTGTCAAATGATTTTCATGGGCTGCACCAACAGATAAAGTCATAGCTCCCAAACCTCAAGTCAACAAGGACTAGGAAAGTGAGGATGGAAGGAAAAGGAGGATAAACCTTGGGCAACTTGGGCGAAATCCACATGTTGATGTTTCATGCACGAGATCAAGACAGACTCTTGTCTATTTCCAGTGGTTCTGCCTTTGAGATAGATGGGAGGATGGGAGGTGGTCTCTAGTAGAACAAGGAAAGGGACGATAAGTGCTTACAGGGGATAGCTCTCTTAGTGGTGGGGAATACTTATTTCTCATTGAAAATGAAAGCTGCTAGAGGGCTCATGGAATATGTGATCTTAAAGACACCTAGAAGAGGGTATTGGTTTTTGTGGCCAAGGGAGGGAATCTGCCTGAGGTCACAGGTAAAGATTTTGTTCCTAACCAGACCAGTCAGCCAAAATGACCGATGGAAACCATCCAAGGAGTACTAGAGGCCAGCCAGGCCTCAGAACAGCCCCAGAGCTTTGGGCCTATGGCCCCTTGAATCATGGACCATCATTTTCCTACCCTTATCCTGTACCAAAAGCCAGGGTAAAAGGAACAGCCTACTGTATTCTGACCCTGATTCAGGAGTTCTTACCTGCATCGGATGCCACTATCTTAGCAATCTGGCTGCGCAGGTGGCTCAGTTCATCCTGCAGCTCTGTGGTGCGGCTTAGGGCTGGCAGGGCTGGCTTCTTCAAGGCCAGGAGCCGCTCCTCAGACCCACGCAGGTTGGGCACGGAGGCATTGCGCTGCATGACAATCAGAGGGCTGGGCTTCCAGGTGTGCTTCAGGGGCCGTGTGTCACTCCTGGACCAGGGAAAGACGGGTATGTCAGTCAGAGACAGCCAGCCACTGTGCCCCTTCTAGAATTCCTTCACTCATTGCTACACGAGTAACACAGCCAGGTCTGCTCCCACTCAGAGCCCACAGCTTTCGTTCCTATTGCGCTCAGCCCCTCTTGAGCACTCTCCCTGCTGCCTGCCATCTCATCTGGACAGAATCTCCCTCCCTGTTCCCCAGCAGACCAGCTAGTGCCTCAGCTACCTGACCCGGGCATATGTCTCCTCTTCATCTGCAGCAATCCAGGCGATGTCAGCCAGAGTAGGGACCGGGGGTACATCCCTCAGACACAGGTCAGAGATGTTGGGCAGGGTCTACGGGAAAGCAAAAGTCCATCAAAAAACACTGACATCAAGAGGAGACTTATCAAAGGCTGCAAAACATATGGAGGGGGGCACCTAATTCAGCCCTAGGTGCCAGGGCAGCTTCCTCAAGGGGAGAAGACAGTTCCTCATTGGAAACAGTTTGAATAAAAGGTCAGAAGAGAGTTTGTGGGATTACAAATAGTTCAGCACAGCTGCACAGAGCCGGGGATGGGGAGGGTGGTTTGCAAAAGGCTGGAAAGCAAATTAGAAACTTTGATTCTAAGATCAATAATGAGTCACTGGAGGATTTTAAGTAAGAATCAGATCTTAAAAGATTACTCTGGCTGCGGTGTGGAACATGCATGAGAGAGTGAAGAGACTAGTTATGAGGCTGTTCTATCTTCCAAGCAAAACATGGCAGCCTAGGGTAGGATTGGGACCTGTGGGTTTGTTTTAATGTTTATTTTTGAGAGAGAAGGAGGCAGAGAATCCCAAGCAGGCTCCATGCCACCAGCATAGAGCCCAATGATGGGCTCAAACTCAAATCATGAGATCATGACCTGAGCAGAAACCAAGAGTCAGATGCTTAACTGACTGAGTCACCCAGGCGCCCTGGGAACTGTTTTTACATATAAAGTTTTACTGGGGAAAGTTCACGCCCATTCATTTATTGTTTGTGGTATCTTTTAAGCTGCACCTGCAGAAGTGAACAGTTGTAACAGTAGTTATGGCCCACACACTAAAATATTTACTATATGGTCTTTTAAAGAAAACATTTGTGGGGTGCCTGGGTGGCTCAGTTGGTTAAGCGTCCGACTTCTGCTCAGGTCATGATGTCACGGTTTGTGGGTTTGAGCCCCGTGTCAGGCTTTGTGCTGTCAGCTAGCTCAGAGCCTGGAACCTGCTTCGGATTCTGTGTCTCCCTCTCTCTCTGACCCTCCCCTGCTCACGCTTTCTCTCTCTCTCTCTCTCAGAAATAAATAAACCATTAAAAAAAAATTTGCTGTCCCTGATTAGAGCAAAGGATCTTCAGTGGGGACTGGTCAGAGTTGCATTTTAATAGAAATGGCCACTAAGAGCATCTTGCTCTCTCTGGCTGTGAGAATACATGTGCAAGATCAACAGTCTTGTTATCAACAGGAAGTTTCTCCTGACTAGCTCTTTACAACACATCTGAGGCTAATTAGGATTACACTGTTATAGCAGCATTGTTTTAAGCAAACTTGAGAAGTTAAATAACAAGAAATTATACCAAAAGAATAAGAGGATTCCTTAAGATATCCCCTCAACCCAAATGAACAACCAAGGAACAGACAAGGCTAAGTGACTCTATTAAATAAAAAGTTAGGAGGATTCTGTCATGCTATGATTGTAACAAAGTAAAAAAAAAAAAAACCATGCATCTATAAAAAGATGGAACAGAACTACACAAAAACATTAATAGTTATTTTATGTTAGGACTATGTGATTAGATGTAATTTATTTTTCTTTCTCCTTTTTTACTTTCCATAATTTTTTGTGTGGATAAATTTAAAAAATAAATCAGCAAGATTCCCTTAAATAATATTTAAGGGAATTTACAATCAAATCCAGGAATAATTTCTCAAAAACCCATCTATACCCATGGGTTATTCAGATGTTTCTGCTACAAACTGGTAGGTAGATCAGAATTGGTAGCTCCAGCTTTTAAGATAGGGAACCTGGGTCTCACAGGAGTGATGTGATACTCACTCCAAGCTCACACAGAAAAGGACAACCCAGAAGTTACCGTTAAGATGGGCCACTTAGGGGAAGCCTCCGCTTGTTTTCCTTCCCAGAGTGCTGCTCCACTACCAACAGTTAAATGCATTAACATATACAGAGAAGTACGCACCGTGCCTGGCACACGGCACGCGCTCGGTAAATGTTAGCCAGTACTACTACTCCTGCTCCCACCACGCCCCTGCTCTGTGGGAGCCTGTGCCTTTGACACTCCCTGCCCAGCAGCATCTGGCTAAAGGACTGAAGGGGTTATAGCTAAGTGGGGGGTCAACACCACGGAGTCCCTCTGTTCCCTAGCTGTTCTCCCCTTTGTTTTGATGCTTTGGGCAGCTAGGACCACACCCTGCCCATGCCCTTTAGGCAGCTCTGGATAACTGGCAATCTGGGTCACAGGATGGCCACCCCCACACTTCCAACTCCATTCTTGACTCTAATACCACCCCCGACACCACTTCTGACTCCAGAATGAGCTACAGATTTCACAGCTCAGCATCTGATACAGAAACTCCCTTCATTTCTGTTTCCACCTGGACCCATGTCTTCAGGCATATATTTGTCACATCTGTGTAGGCAGTTTAAGTACTTGTGCCTCAGTTCCCCAAATGTACACACCTTAAGCATCTAGCCAGGAGCTGGTACTTAACCATTCGTGCTTAGAGGGAGGTAGCTGGGCCTAAAAAATGCTACTTGGCTTTCCACTGCAGAAGGAGGGTGCGTCTGAGACGGGCTGGGGAAGCATCTGCCACAGAGTGGGTGCCAAAGGCCCCCTAGACCCAGAAGGAAGCCTTAAGTAGTCTAGTAAAGGAGTGCCCAGACTTGGCCAGAAAGAAAAGGCTGAGGAGTAATGGTCTCAGGGAAACATAAGTGGCCAGGTCTTCGGGCTGGTAAGAAAAGCAGAGTTCGACCTCTGTGTCCCACATAGAGACCTGATAGAGACCTGAGAGGGTTGCAGGCAAACACCTGAGAGCACAGACACGGCTACTCTGGAAACGCAGTTCAGCAGGGCCTTTGGCCTGCTCTGATAAGCTGGACTGCAGGAGCCTGATGAAAACTTAGTCACTTAGTGGTGGCACCAAAGATGCAAGATTATTCATTTATTAACAGATTGGAAGTCTGACAGTTGTGGTCACAGTTTGTGTGCAATCAGGAAGGCACAATGACCAGTATCCATTGTATGTACTTAATATTTCTGGACAAAATGAAAAAGTGATCGGGAAAGCAACCTGCCTTAGCAACACCAAATAGCACCATCTTCCCATACATAGTTTCTGAGCTTCTACTTACCCTGCTCTTCCAGTACACTTACCTCAAAGGATGCCCGGGGACATGGCTTCAGGGGCAGGTTGGTTCCAATTCTTCTCACTACACTGCGAGCAGCCCCATGGGGCTTGTTTTGCCAGATTGGGATGGTCTAAAGCAGAAAGTGACAAGGAGCTAAGAAAGGGTCTAACTACTCTTCGATCCTACCCCCCCCCCCCACCCCTTTAGCAGGGAGACTGAAGTCCCCAGGAACAGGGTGCAGGGTGGAGTTAAGTCCAGTCTTACAAGTCTTAATACGAGTTAGGGCAGGTTCCCCAGTTGCTAGCCTTCACCTTGGCCAGCCACTTAGGGGGATACTGCTGTTGCCAAGGCATCGTCAGTGCCGGGAGGATCAGTGAAGAGGTGAGGAATTAGTTGGGTGTAGGGATCATGTTGGCTTCCCTCCCTTTCCTCAGCACAGAAAAGCAGAAACACGTTGACTCCTTAACTGCCTCCAAGACCACAGTTGGTTTTGCCTGTGGGAGGGCAGGAGGTATGTGGAAGTGTCACCTCCAGGGGAAAGGAAGAATTAACTGGAGAGTCTCAGAATTTCCTAAAGAACTTCAGCAGACCCAGGGCTCAACCTTTCCCCACCCCGGCCCTGCCCTGGGAATGTCTTTTCCTTACCACACTGGCTTCCATTCCTGACACTTCAACCGGCTCCTGCACTTGAAGGACAAGGCAGCCACGGGGCAGCTCGGGGAGGTTGGAGGCGTGACTCCTTCATATCAGGCCATCTTAAGGAACACCGGGTTTCTCTCCCTGTGAAACAAGCCCCACAAAAACCAGGTCCTGCAGAGCCATGACTTACACCAAGTTTTCTCAGATGTTTCACAGGGGAGAAAAACAGCTCAAGAGACTGCCCTCACTTAACAATGGCTCCAAATCCAGACCCTTAAAGGTTCTGTTCCAGACTTGTTACATGAGCTTGGCAAACTATGGGAGCCTTCCTGACCCCTGAGGTTTCCTGAGGCAATACAGTAAAACCTTGGTTTGTGAGCATAATTCCTTCCGGAAAGAAACATGCCTGTAATCCAAAGCACTTGTATATCAAAGCGAATTTCAAGAACCATTGGCTCAGTAATGATCATGTGACATTGGGTGTCACACAGCACTCCTACTGCAAGACATCACTCGTTTATCAAGTTAAAATTTATTAGAAATGTTGCTCGTCTTGAGGAACGCTTGCCAGAACAAGTTACTCACAATCCAAGATTTTACTGTACTTGTAAAGGTGTAAATAGAACTTGCGGGGGGGGGGGGGGGGGGCGGGCACCTCAGTGGTTCAGTTAATCCTCTGACTCTTAATTTCAGCTCAGGTCATGATCTCATGGTTTGAGAGTTCAAGCCCCACATGGGGCTCTGTGCTGATGGTGCCAGGCCTGCTTGGGATTCTGTCTCCCTTTTTCTCTCTGCCCCTTCCTCACTTATTTTCTCGCTCCCTCTCTCTCTCCCCTCCCTCAAATATAAATAGTTAAAAAAAAATTCCTTTGGTAGTTACGAAGCCAAATCGTAGGTCCCACCAAACCCAGCATTCTTTGCTGAAAAAGGGATGTAAAAGCCCAGCATGTGCCACCAAGCCTAACACTGCTGGGACCTGGCAAGGGGAGATGTAAAATAGACAAATGGAGAACGAACAGCTAGCTCTTGCCAATATGAGTCTACTGGGCTACAGGGAAAAGATCCAAATGTTTTTCTCCTGCTTAGCTATGACTGGTCTTTTAGCCTCTGGCAGGTCATATAACCTTTCTGAAAGTTGGCTCTTCCATATGCAAAGAGGACAAGAAGAGCTGCCACCTAGATTATTTTAAGGATCCATCAGTGAAACAGGGGATTTTAAAGTACTTAATGAACTGTTAAAACAAAACACTGATGGATGGGGTCATTCAGGACTGGATTCTTCACAGCTGCTCCTGTATGGTGAGCAGATGTAATCAATGGACTCGTTCCCTTGTTCATCCAACACTAACAATACCCACCCTGTGCTGGGCCCTGTAGGGACTTTGGAAGGAGTAAGACACACCCATGCTCTCACGAAACACACAATCTGGAAGAGAAACAGGACCTAAATACTTAATTCTAGCAAAGGCTGAATATCACTGCTTAAGAAAGGTACACTAAACAGGCCAAGTGAGTTCAGGCCCCTGCCCCTGCACCCTCATGGTGAGTTCAGAGGGGGAAGGAAGGGATGAAAAACAGCAACCAAAGCACAGGTCCAAGACAGGAAGGTGACAGGGGTATAAAGAGGGGCACAGAAGGAAATCTGCGGTCAAGTCATGAGAGCTGGGAATGTTCAGGCAGGTGAGAAGTCCCTGGGGAGCCACAGGCAGGCTCTGAATAGGGGACGGACTAAAACCTCCCTTGCAGGATTTCTTTCACCTGCAGGAGAAGAATTATCACTCACTTTATGGTACACGTGAGGAAAGGAGGCTAGAGAGAGGAAACGGACTAAGGTCACTCGGTGGTCACACCAGAAGAAAGTACAAGTCTGGTCTAGATCCTGCTACTTTCTGCATGGGCTCAACTCTCTGCAGGTCAAGCCTTTATCAAAGTCCCTCTGGGCCAGGCTCTGCTGAATGTCTCTGCTGCCACAGTTCCACGTAACAGCGGTTCCCTGTGCTGCTCACTCTAGGCGCTACAGCCACTTCCTCTCCGAACTTACTTCCAAAGACTCAGCTGGGCCTAACACAACAGCCAGAGAGATCTTTCTAGGACACACTGCTCCTATGTTTAACGCCCCCCTCCCGCTCAGGCTCGCTATAACCAGCAGGATCACATCTACACTCAGAACGGCCTGCAGGGACCTCCACGATCCGGCCCAACCTCACTAGAGGAAACTCCGAGGCCTGCGGTTAGGCCCCCCGCACACCTGACAGCCACACCTCCCGCGCTCCCCTAAGCCTCCAGCCACGCTGGCCGCCGCAGCACCGTTCCCGCCGCTTGAAACACCAGCACCCTCTTCACCGAGCTCCTCATTCTGCAGCGCTCGGATCAAGCAATGCCTTCCCTTCCCTGCCAGGTCCTTACTGCCCCCCTGCCCCAGCACCCCACGTTTCCTTCGGAGTCCTTCCACAACAGTAATGAGGCCCTCGTGTAATGTGCTGTCTTGCCGAAGGGCAGAGGCTTCCCCAGACACAGAACACCGCAGTGGGCACTTCGACGTTTGTTCACGAACGAACGAGAACACGGGCTTGGCCTTCACCGCCCTCCCCGTCCCAAGTGTCGGCGAGAAGACTTCCCCCGGTTCGCTGGCAACGCCAGGTGATTCCTAGCAACTCCGCGCTCCCACGACCCCTCTCCAGGCCGCTGGCATTGCCTGTGCACACACGCTCTCCCGCAGGAGACTCGGGGCTCCTCCAGGGCAGGCCTGCTCTCGTCACCCCGGTGACGGGCGGCAGTCCGCGTGGGCCCCAGGCGGAGCTCAGGGGGAGCCGCTGCAGGGCGCTCGCCCGGGACACGCCTCCCCTCCCCCGCAACGGCCCGACCCCACCGGGCCAAGGTCGGCCAAGCTCTAGCTGCTCTCGGGTCCCAGAAGAAACGAGGCGGCCGAAGTAGCCCGGCCGGCTGAGGAGCCTCTGCTACGGCTCAACCAATGAAGACAGTGACAGGCGAGCAACTACCCTCGCCGGGCATTGAGTCCTCCCACCCCCAGCCAAGCTAGGCCGACAACATGGGCTCCCGCGAGAACTGGCGCGGGAACGGGAGCCGCAGGCTCCGCACAGCGCCCGACACTAGGCTGCGTGGACAGTCGGGCCGGGAGGCCGCGCTCCCGCCTCCGGAGCAGCACTCGGACCTAGTCTTACCTCAGATTCCAGCTCCGGGACTCACTCACCTCACGGCCCCTCCTACCACAGCGGGCCGCCCAGCCTCAACCGCCCTCACTTCCGCTGATCCGCCCCCGGAAGTGATCCTCTGCGGCTGCGCACCGGGCCGCGACCTCGCGCGCCCTCGTAAGACGGACCCCGCTCTGGGCGGGGCGAGCGCGGCTTCAGCGGGGGCGGGCCTCACACAAGGATCCCGCAGAAGGGGATACGCCCATCCCCGAGGCCACGCCTGCGCTGGCCCAGCCCTTGGGAAAAGTTGACCACGCTGGGAAATCCCCGCGGCCTGATTGGTCGCATCCGCCTCTGGTCTCCGCCTTCTAGCAGCTCTCCCGGGGTAGTCCCGAGACGACCTCGAGCTTCCGAGTTCCGATCGCGTCCGCCACTCGGCCCCCAAATTGTGTGGCGCCTGCTGTCCCTATGCCTACTGTACCGTGAGAAGCCCCCACCTGGCGTTCCAGGCGCTCCGAACCCAGCTCTTGCCTTATCTCGCCCAGATCCCCCTTTCACACTTAATGCTTCCCAGCCAAGACCCTCTACAGCCTTCTGTCCGGCCGGAAGAGGCCTCTTTCTCATCTGACTCCTGCATTTCAGCTCTTTGTAATGTTTTCTATTTTAGGCTTTATGTATCTCACAATCTACACAAGGCAGATTCAGTGAAATAGTAGATTGATGGGCAAGACCCCAGAGGCGTTGGGAAAGAGACCCACATTCCTTCCAGGCTCGCTCACCCACTCCCTCTTTGAGCTTAAACCCTCACGGTCCTGGTCCTGGTCCTGGTCTTGATGGCAGCCAGGCCTGGGTCGCATACCCTCCTCTGACCTTAGTGTACAGCAGTGCCTGGCTCCCAGGCCACAGTTCTTTGGTCTCAAAGCCTCCAAGTTCCAGCTGCCAGGCTTCATAGTGGGGACAGGTTTCGGCAGTCACAGGGTCTCTTGCTCGGAACTCCGTGCTTGCTTTAATGCTCTGCTATCCCCCCCCCCCCCCGCAATGTATGTAATAAAATTTATATATAAAATTTAATATATAATTTTATATTACATATATATTTTAAACAAGGGTCCTGCATTTTCATTTTGCACAGGATCCTGCAAATTATATAGCTGTCCTGGTCAGAGACCTCAGAGCTGTCCACTCTGATCCTAATCATATTTCAAATGATGAAGGTTGACTTCCAGGCCCAGCCTTCTTTCCAGGATGGCAAATTGTTTAATCATTGATTCTCCTTCCTGGTCAATGGCAGGTCTTGCAGATCCACCCTAGCTGTCTCTCCCCGAGGCCGAGGGGGGGGGGGGGGGTAGACGTCTTGGTGCTCAACCCAGCCCTCCTCTCCCCTGCCAGTGAACTCAGCCTCCAGCTGCTGCGTTGGAAGCCCACAGCTGCCCCCTTTCTCTGGAAAACTGCACTTATAAGAGGGAGAACAGGGGCACCTGGGTGGCTCCATCAGTTAAGCGCCTGACTTCGGCTCAGGTCATAATCTCCCGGTTCGTGGGATCTCACAGCACTGCGTCGGGCTCAGAGCCTGGAGCCTGCTTCAGATTCTGTGTCTCCCTCTCTCTCTCTGACCCTCCCCTGCTCGCGCGCTCTCTCTCTCAGAAATAAATTAAAAAAACATTAAAAAAAAAGATAAAAAAGGAGAACAGAGGCCCTAACTTGCGAAGTTAGTTCATCCTCCAAATCAATGACTGACTAACACAGGGCACAAAAGGCAAGTTCTACTCTGTGGTGTGGCTTGTGTTCCAGAACCTTTCGCCTGTAATCATTCTAGGGCGTGGATTTGAGACTCTATCCCTGCTTAACATTTTCCTTTTCCTCATTCTTTGTCACTCCTTCTTTTAATTTTTTAAAAAGAAAATTTTAAAGCTTTTTTTTTTTAAGATTTTTAAAAAAGAAATCTCTGCGCCCAGCATGGGACTCAAACTCACAACCTGAGATCAAGAGTCCCATGCTCCCCCAACTGAGCCAGCCAGGTGCCCTTTCTTGACTTGTTCTTATACAGGTTTTTCCTGAAGTGTACTCCCTCAAGAAAACTACATAATGCCTGTGTCAGGCTCTACTTCTAAGACAATGTGTAATTAACTTTAGAATCTTTCTCAACACAGAGCATCAGATTCTAAAAATAGTCCTAAGTTCTACTTACTGGGTCTATCACAAACTTACTTTAAGAATGTCACTTAAGGGGTGCCTGGGTGGCTCAGCTGGTTGAGCATCGGACTCCTGATTTCAGATCAGATCACAATCCCAGGGTCTCAGGATTGAGCCCCAAGCTGGGTGTGGAGCCTGCATGGGATTCTCTCTCCACTCCCACCCAACTCTGCCTCTGTCCCCCACTTCAGTATTCTCTCTCTCTCTCTCTCTCTCAAAAAAAAAAGAAAAGAAAAAAGAAAAACAAAAAAGAATACCACTTGAGCCCTCTGGTGACAGAAAGGCATTCCAGCCATGCCCCCTTGCCCATCTGCCAAGCCAATCCCACAGAGGAGTCAGACCAAGGACAGAACTGACCAATATCCTACTCAAAGGAAAGGCACTGAAAGCCACCCTAGACTTTCTGATTTTATTATAGGACACGTGGACAGGGGAGAGAAGTGGCAGAGGGGTGATGAGGGCAGCTAGGACCCTCCCCACCATGAGCTTCAAGGCACAGTGGGAGGGGGGAGGGGTCAGGAAAGGTATGGGATGAAGATGAGAAAGCCCGAGCAATCAGCACCTTACAAGGGACAAGGATTTCTCAGTGCGGGGTGAGCCAGTGTGGAGGGGAAGAGCCTGCCGGGTGGGGTGGGGAGGCGGGAGTCTGTGCTGACACTGGGTGGCTCATGGGACTGGCTACCGCCACCCATGCCTGGCAGCACTGAGACAGACTCCGGTGCCCTCCCTCCCTTTTAAGGGGCATAGAAGCACTGCCTCCCAGGAAACAAAGAACTTGGCTGCGCTTGCTTGCTGGTTCATTTCGTCTGGAGATCAGAGGGGGGTGAGACATTTTGGTTTGAACTTTTTCATGTCAGTGAAAACGGGCAGGGGTGAGAGGTGGGGGCTCAGTGCAAAACAAAACACCAAAGTCAAGACACAGGCTGAGTCTCAACTGTACCACTCAGTGACCTTGGGTAAGTCACGACACTTCCCTGAGACTCAGTTTCTTCATCTGCAAAATGGGAATGATTAATATCTGCCTCACAGGTTCTTTGTGAGGATTAAACAAGAAAATAGAAGTAATGTTACAGGAGTGCCCGAGAGAGAGAGAGAGAGAGAGAGACCGACGGAAGGCTCAGTATGGATACTTAAGTGGCAGGCAGGGGAATTCAGCAAATGGGAGGCCTGGGAGTGTGTCCAAGGAGGTGTCTGCCTTCCTTTTCCAGGTTTAAGAGTGAGCTCCCCAGGGCTTGGGAAGCAGCCTTGGCTCCAGGGCTTTAATGAAAGCCCAGGGACCCTCATGGGCCTGAGGGGAAGACAAGGATAGGGCTGGGGGTACAATGACTTTCTTTTTTAAAAAGCTGGAAGGAAAGGAAGAGAGGAATATTTCTTCCCACAGGCGCAGCTGCAAAGGCATCAAGCTGGACCCATCAAGGATTTCAGGTCCAGCCATCATGGGGCTGCTGCGGGGGGAAGACACCGCCCCTTCTCTCTCCTCAGTGTTGGCGTTATCAAAAATATCTACAAACTGTGAGAAGACTTATAAAAACACTTTACTGCATGTATAAAAAAGACTGGCTGTAGTCAGTGGCTTGGGACGGAGACTGAGGCCTTCAGAGAGGCCAGGGAAGGCCAGCAGCCATTTGGTGGGGTGCGTGGGGCGGGGCTGCCCTGACGGCTCTGGGGGAGCTGCTGTCTTTGGCTGAGCTACACTTCCGTGGAGCTGGGGTCCGAGGGGCCCGGGGCCGGCTCCAGTAGTCCTACTGTGACCCCTGCTGGGCGGACGCTGCGGGTGCCTGGGCCCTGGGCCTCAGGAAGCCCTCAGTGGACTCCCTTGCTAGAAGCAGAAGCCTCCTTCGCAGTGAACCGCCCCAGGCAGCCTCCAGCAAGTCCCCAAACAGGTGCTGGGGCCCTATCATTAGGTTGGACTGAGCCGTCTGGAGAGCCGAGGTCTGGGGCGCAGGGACTTCTTCTGGAGGGTTTTCCCCTGAGCCTCCAGAAGGCGGTCTCCAGCTGAAACTGACCCCACTGGGGGCACCAGGCATAGGAGGGCAGCCAGGAAGAAGGTTCCAGACAAACAAGAGTGCTTCCCTGGCAACCCCTCCCCAGCCCCCAGTCCGAGGCCTTTCTGACCTTTCTTAGGGGAGGCGGTGAATGCAAGGAGAGAGGGGAGGCCCCGTCTTCCTGGCACCACTCCTCCCTGATCTTTACCCCACAGGAACCTGGGCTGTGTGCCTGAGTGGGTGAGGTCCAGGGAGATGACCTGACGTCCGTTTTCGGTGTCCTGAGCAGCTTCTGGAACCACGCAGGCAGTAAAGGGCTAATGGCGGCAGCTGGGGTCAGAGGTTCATCCGTCCAGTCGCCCCAGGCACCCCCTTGTCTAACCCTTCACTGACCTCCAACCGCACAGGCAGCCTGGCAGTGGCAGGGGTGGGGGTGCCCGAAGCTTGAAATGTGCCAGGACCGCTGGCTCGGAGCCTTCAGTGTCGGAGGCCTTTGCTTCAGCTCCCCCGCCCCGTCCAGCCTGGCGTCTCATGGCCTGAGGCCGCACTAGGGCTGGAGGAGGGGCAGGCCGCGCCGAAGGCCTTCCTTCAGGAACTGCATGTAGGTGGCCGTGGACGGGTCTTCAAAGGTGGACGAGAAGCTGAAGACGTTGTTCTCAACATCCTCAGGCTTCATGGAGGTGATGTCCAAGAAGTAGTTGGCATTGATGTGGTGGACCTGGGAGAGGGGCTGGGTGAGCAGAGCGAGGGGGCCCCTCTCGCTCCCTGTCTGCTCGCGTTCTCTTAGGAAAAGGGGATGCTCAGGCCTTGACTGTCCTCGCCCCGAGGCAGACGGCAAACACGGGGGGCGGAAGCCGACCAGACCTCCGTGCACACGGGGCCCTGTGCCAGGAGACGTCTCCCACACCCCACCTGCCGGGGCGGGGGCCTCCTGACTCTGCGCCTTTCCCTTGCTCCCACCCCCCACGGACGGCCCCTCTTCCATCCATGACCCATGGACTCCACACTCCCTTGGGCCAAAATGCCCATCGGCTCTGTGTGCCTGCCGCCCCCTCTGCCTCCCACGCCGGCTACTCGGCTCCTTAAGGGCAGGTGCCTGGTACATGAGCCAAGAAACACATGGACAAGCGAGCAGGAGAGCGCGGTCCCCAGGCCAAGTTCTGTCCGCCCAGCGCTGTGAGGCCAGGGCCCTGCCACCGCCGGGCTCCGCCGGGCTGAGCACCAGCGCACCGGTGGCCCTCTTCCGGGTTGGCCTCGCCCCTGGCTCCCCGACTGCTCCCGGGCCTGAGAGCCCGGGGGAGCTGGCCTCCCTCCCACGGCCCTCAGCCCCACACTAACCATCCCTCAGGACTTGGGCTAAGTAAGGGGCAGGAGATCCTGAGGCCCCCAGGCAGGCCTGGTTTCACAACCAGCTATGCTTCTTAACTGTGCAACTTATGCCAAGTCTCTGCCTCTTTTTGAGCCTTAGTTTCCTTGTTTGGAAAATGGGCACCTGTGATTGTCCATCTCCCAAAGCTGTGTGAGACCCTGACGAGAGGGAGGTGTGAGTGCTCGCAGGGGCCCCCAAGGGGAGGTAGGGTCTTGCAGCTTGGCTCAGCCTGGGGGGCGCCCCCTGGTCCTCTCTGCTTGTCACAAGGCCCGGCCCCTCCTTCCTCCTTCTGTCCCAGAGCTGGCCACAATGGTCCGGGGTGAGCTTTCCCTTCCAGGCCACGTTCCTGTCCACCCTGCTGCGAGCCTGTGCTCGATGCTGCCCCATCCCCAAAGGGCTAGAGTACTGAGGTCCCCCCTCTCGTGGGAGTGTCCCAACACTCCCTATGGCGGGCATGACAATCCCTACTTTACAGATGGGGACATGTGAGGCTCAGGCTGGCTGGGAGGCCAGCAGGAAGCAGTGGAGCCAGCCCTGAAGCCCGAGGAGCTGTGTTAAGTCCATGCCCCTTGCTTTGGCTTCCTCAGCCTCACGGGGCCTGGCCCGGGCTGGTGCGGGTGCGGGGGGCCGCCTACCACGGTGCCGTTGGGCAGGCAGATCATCATCTCCACGGGGAAGCTGTACTTCTCCAAGTGCAGGTCGGCCAGCTTCTTGTGGGACGGGTTCTCCTGGTTGTTCTGTGGGGAGAGTTGGGTGCACTCCTGATGTCTCAGCCTCCAGCCCCCCCACCCCCCGCCCCGGGGGTGCTCCCATGAGGCTGTTCCCATCCACTCACCACTCACCTGCATGTCTTCTAGCTCCCTCACCAGGGACCAAGTGCTGATGAAGCTCTCATTGAGGAGGGCGAGGATGGGCGAACTTTCCAGGACAGTCTCCCGGAGAGTCCGCCCTGAACCTGTTCCGGGGATGGCAAGGCCAGAGGAGTGAGGCCCCGACCCACGTCTTACTGGCTTTTCTCTCAGTTAGAAGCCTTGTGGACTGTAGGGTGGTCTGTGCACACCAGTGAAATAACAGATTCAAAGAGCCTACCATGGATTCGGTGCTGATTACTGGGAGCTGTCACTACAGTCAATGACACACCGGCATCCTGGGCTGAGATCGGGGGTGGGGGGCTTCAGCCCAGGGACCTGCAGACCGCGGCAGCTTCTTAAATCCACTAAACTCTGTGGCCCGGGGCCTTTGCACAGGTTGTACTATGCCTAAAACACCTTTTCTTCTGTCACCTGATAAACCTCTACTCATCCTTTGAGTCTCAGCTTAAAATCGCCATCCCTAGGAAGCCTTCCGCGAGCCCGTGCCACACTCTGGGTCTTCCCCTGGGTGACACTCACCGCGCTTGAACTTATTCACTCATCTGCCTTCTGCACACACCGTGCTCCCCGAGGATGGGCCACTTCTGCCTTCCTTATTAGGAGACTCTCAGCACCTGGCCCACGGCGTGGCGCAGGAGGTCCCCAGGGTGTTTGTCGATTAACTGAATGAGGGCAGGGGCACCGTTTTACTCATCTTTGTGCCCACTGTCAGACATCCAGAATCTGTGTGTCTAGGAGGTCTTGGGCGAATCTTCTGAGTAAGTGAAGGCCTGGCCAGCCTCGGGCACTATTTTCTCTCTCACTTGCCTGCAACACTTCACAGCGCCTGGGCACTTTTACGTCCATCCTCACAACTCGGGGAGGTAAGCATGTTACCCCTCCTTCGCTGTTGAGAAAACTAAGGCTTGAGGAGGGGGAGTCTCAGACCATAATGTGAATGTGATGGTGAAGGTCAAATAAGAGCTGGTGGAGGGGGCTCTTCCTTTGCCAGCAGGGCGGCCTCCTGCCCGAGCCCCAAGGCCCTGGGGCCACAATAAAGCTTCCCTTTCATTGAAAAAAAAAGGAGGGGAAGTCATTTGGCCAAGGTCTCCAGGCTGCAAATGACGGAGCTGGGCTCTTTTTACTGTGAACAGCCGCTGCTTCGCTGCTTCCGAGCTCAGCACACACACTCCCCCGCCAAGCCCTTACCTCATGCCCCTGCCTGGGTAGTCCCCAAGCCCCCCCACGTTCCAACAGGACAGTCCACGAGGTATGACATCTTCTCCCCCAGACTGGCAGGCTCTCCCTCACCTCAGCAGGACTGGTCATCCAGGGCGCCCCACAGCAGAATTGAGTGCACCAGCTTGTTCTTGGCCTTGGCTTGGTCGAAGGCCTCAGTGAATGGCAGATAGGTGACCTGGAGCCAAGTGGAGACAGAGAGAAGCTACTGTGTGAGGCCAGGGTCCTGTTCAGGAGCTGTGTGTGTGTGTGTGTGTGTGTGTGTGTGTGTGTGTTTATAGTATGAGTCTGTGTGTGAGAAAGGGTATTGCTGAGCCAGGGGAATGCCTCCTCCAAGTTGTGAATGGCGAAAGAGAGGAAAGAGAGGCCCCACTGGTACGGGCCAGGCCCTGTACCCAGCCTGGAGTCGAGTGCCCACCTGCCGCTCTCCAAGCCCTGGCGGCACAGAGCCCGCCCCTCGCCCTCACTCCCCGCCCAGCCCCACCTTCTTGAAGGGGTACATGGCCACCTCCAGGCGCCGGGCAGCCTCCTCCCAGCTCAGCTCCTGCTGCCACTCGATCTCCTCAAAGACAAACTGGAGGGGCTCCCCTGACGGTGGGCGGCTGTCAATCACGTTGCCATCCTCGTCCAGGATCACAGAAGGCACCGACGGGCCCACAGCCTCCAGCTCCATCTGGACCAGAGGTCAGTGGGGGTTGACATCAGTGAAGGTGTCTCAGAGATGGGCAAGAATCCTTAAGAGACCCTCAAAGATTCTCCACCCATTGCAAAGGTGGAGAAACCGAGGCTCTGGGAAGGGCAGGGCCTGGTCAGGGCTGCAGTGGGTCTAGGACAGAGCCAGGGTCCACCTAGGGCTCCTTCTATGGTGTGAAGCCATCCGGGGGCCCATGACAGCTGGTTTCCTGAGGGACAACTGGCCTCAGCCTGCCAGGGGCCTGGCCTTCACCCTGGACTGCCGGAGACTCCCAGCCCTGCAGCTGAATCCTGTCTCCTTACCTGAGTCAGGGCCACTTGTGTGCTCACCTGGGGGATGTAGCCAATGTCCACCTCCATGTTGCTGCTCTCACTGGCCCCGTACAGCCACTCCATGTCCACATTCAGAGACCTGGGGACAGGTGAGAGGGTGGCCAGGCCAGGACACCCCCACCACCAAGGCCCATTAACCGTATGTCAGACTTTACAGCACACAACTCTCCCCATTTTACAGATGAGGACACTGAGGCCTGGCAAGGTGAACCCAAGGTCTCGGGGCCACTGGGGTTTTTACAGCCAAGCCTGGGCCCTTTTCTGTCCCTGGGCTGCCTCTCCCTAAGGCTGCAACCACACACCGCTCACTGGCCCTGCCCCTTACAATTCACAAAGGGCTTTCGCATCACAGTCTCCAGTGCCGCTCCAGGCTCTTGGAGGTAGAAAGATGTCAGTGCCTCTCCTAGACGAGAGGGGCAGGAGCAAACACCTGGCTCCATCCTCCCCTGCTCCCTCTCCCACAGGAAGCCTGGCCCCACCACGTGCCATCCGCAGATCTGCCACACGGGGGCAGCCCGGCACCGACAACCACCCACCTTGGGCCGGTGAGCTCAGTGCCTGAGGAGGTGGGCAGCCCTGTGGCCGCCTCCTGAGACACAGGCTCAGGGGGCCCTGGGGCTGGTCATTTGTCCCCCCCCCCCCCCCCGGTTTCATCCAATCCAGAATCCTCACCTCCAACCCTGAGGGGGAGGCGGGCGTGCCCTGGGCTGAGCCTGTACAGCCAAGGGGAGGGAGAGAAAAGCTCTCCTGCTCCCGGGGACAACTTTCTCTTCCCAGGCTATCACTCTTGCCCCAGAGCCATCCCTTCATCTAGCAGATGAGGAAACTGAGGCCCAGAGAGCCCAGGGGCCTTGCCCACAGCCATGTAACCCACAGGTGCCATGGTGGAGACTTACTGTGGGCCTCCAGCCACGGTCCTGTCCCTGTCCTGGGTCACTCAGACCTACTAAGCAGCCACTTGCTGTCAGGGAGGAATATGGAAAGACCTGAAGCCAGGCCCTCTGGGTCCCCTGCTCTTGACAAGAGGCTGACCCTGAGCAGGCGGGGCACACAGGAAGGCAGCTGGCATGGAATCTTCAAGAAGGTCCTCAGGCCCTCTGCCCCCCAGGGTCTGAGGTAGCAAGTGCAGGTGGTGGAGGACCTGCCCCTGGGCCTTTACACGTGCTGCTCCCTCTGCCTGGCTAAACCCTCCTAATCCTCCAGGTCTCTGCTTAGATGCCTCTTCCCCAGGGAAGGCTTCCTGGACCCTGCCCAGGCAGGTCGCTGACCCCTGCCAGCCCTCCCCTAGGGTCATGAGAAGGCTGAGGTTACAGGTGTGGGGGAGCAGTACGAAGGTGCTGGGCTCCAGCTCTGGGGAGGTCCTGTTGGCTGCTGCCCTGGGTCGCGGGCACAGAGTTGCCAGTCCAGGCCACCTGGGACACGGCTGCCAAGTGATAGAATGACCCACCTCAGTTCACCTCAAGCTGCCTCCTCCCGGGTCAGCTCCACACCACTCCCAAGAGAAGTGGCTCTGGGGAGTGAAGGAGGGGCAGACACCGAGGGGGCCTCTGGGCCCCTGCACCTGAGCTCCCGGAGCAAGGGGGTAGAGTGGGGTGAACCGTGGTGGGGTGCAGGGCACGCCGGGGCCCCAGGCTCCCACCTGTGGTTGGGCACGAAGAGCCGGAAGTCCCGGACGTGAGTGGCATCTTTGGAGAGGATGATGTGGCCGGTGAACTGGCCAGGCGAGAACCAGAAGGGGAAGTCAGGCGGCTCGCTGAGCTGGAACTCGGCGTGGATCCTGGGGGCAGAGGAGCCTGGCTGGGAGCACCCCCTGCTGAGCTGGAGCCCTCCCCCCCGCCCCCCGCTGCTGCTCTTGTGCCACAGCTGGGGAACCCTTGGCCAGGTTCTTGTGTGGAGAACGGGCTGGGCAGGGAGAGGCCACGAGGCCCTCAAAGCGCTGCCCGTCCTCAGGGCCTGGTTCACACACCGCCTTCTCTGGAGGCCTTGCCTGACCAGCTGTCCTCTGAGCCCTCACAGCCTCCGCAGGGGGTGTGACCTGGTGTCACAGCTCTTCTACATTCCCCCCCAAACCCCCCCCGGCGGGTGACAAGCACAGCCACCAGCCTCATGCTAAGCAAGCACTGCGTTTTGGCCTTGCTCCTAGGAGAAGTCGCCACCACCCCCAGCCACGGATGAAGAAATCGAAGCCCAGAGAGCCACCACTGCTGGCCCAAGACCAGAGGGTGGTACACGCTGGCACTGGGGGCCACCAGGCAGGCCCTGTCCTCGCCCGCCCGTGCTTTCCTGGGGTTCCCAGCCTGGCAGAGACCAGGAGGGGTTTCTGGGGACTACATACCGGAACATCACAGTGTAGTAGAAGTCACTGATGGCGGTCAGGCAGGCGACAGCCCCCTGAGGGGCAAAGCGGGTTTTCACAAAGGGTCGAGGGTGGAACATGCTCAGGAGCCGGTGGATGATGACCTGAAGGGAGGGCAGTGGAGACCCGTGCTAGCTTGTTGGGTCACGATCCCCCAGGTGAGGTTCTGCTCTGGACCTACAGGCCTGGGGCCCGGGAGGGGGTGATAGCGTAGGGGGAGGCAGGAAAGCAGGCGGGGTGGTCCTGGCACTGGGGGTCCAGGTGCAGAGCTGGTGCAGAGCTGGTGGGGGCGTGGCTGGGCTGGGCGGGGCAGGGCAGGGCGGCAGTGGGGGCGGTGCTGGAGCTGGGCCAGGGGCTGGGGTGGGCTGGGCTGGGAGGAGGGCCCCAGGGTCACTAGGGCAGCCCTCACCTCTTTGCCCTTGGGCGGTGGTGGGTAGAAGCGGTTGTTAGATAAATAGCCAGTGAAGACGCTCAGCTCACTGGGGATGATCCACCATGGCTCCCCCAGCTCCACGTGGCCCCGAGGAGGAAGGAAGGGCCGGAAGTGTCGGGCAGCAAACACTGCGCTCGGCAAGGCCGCAGCAGTCCAGTTGCGGAGGCCGGACAGGGCCAGGCGGGAGACCTGGGGCAGCGGGAAGCCGAAGCTCTGGGGCATGGACAGCCAGGATGTGCGGGTCCCCGTTCCGTGGGTGCGCGGAGGTCTCCCTGCAGCCGAGGCCCACCTCACCAACCCCCACCCCCCCCCGCCCCCAGCCCAGGAAGCAGCACCCCCGTGGCCTGCTCAGGCCAAGTCCAGGCCCTAGCCGGAAGGGCCGCCCGGGGCTGGGACAGGGGTGCTCTGCGCAGGTGTTCTGCCTGCCTCTGTCACACAGTGCCCGCCCCAGGCCTCACAGGTACATGGTCCTGCCTCCCTCCTTTGTGCCAGCTGGTGGCCCCTGCCTGACTGCACATCTGGAACACTGAGGCAGGGCCTGGAGCGTGTCCCCTGGTAAAACCTGCACCTTCCGTAGCCCCTCCCCGCCCTTCTGCGCTCCAGACAGGAGTCATGTGGAGGCCCTGGCCACCAGGACAGCAAGTGCCTGGCACCTCCGGGACCGCTCGGCCATCAGGGAGCTGCCAGGTCTTCGGCAGCAGCAGGCTCCCTCTCCCTTCCCCGCCTCCGCAGTGGTAGGGGGCTAGGCTCACTGGGAGGGGGGAGGAGGGGGGTTCTCAGAGCCATCCCCAAGGGGACCGAGCAGGGTCCCTCTAAGCAGGGCCTGCTGTGCGAGGCCAGGCCGGGCTGCCTGCCGCTGCGTCCTGCCCACGGGCCAGCCACCCCTGCAGGGGAGCAGTGAGGCACTGCTCCTGCCCCATCCTCCCTGTAAGAGCAGCTGGGCCTGGCACCCTGCCAGTCCTACCCCGCCCTCGCTGCTCTGCGGGGGCTCACCCACGCGGACAGCTTCAGCCACCTGGGTTGCCAACCTTGCCCACCTGGATCTTCTGCGGAAGATCAAACCTGTGTTTCCGACCACTTATTGGACTGTCCCCTTGGGTGTCCCCCCCCCTCCACAGGCGCCATGACTCCGGCAGGTCCAGACTGACCTCATTTCCTCCCCACCAGACCCACCCCCTGCTCTGTGTCCCCTGGGGCAAATAGCCCACCCTGCACTGGTCACCCCATCCAGCCCTCCACCCCCACCCACCTTCCATTAGTAGCCCTGCCCTGCCTGCCTTCCTTTCCCGGCATCCTCCAGGATGCCTTCCTCTCGACCACCACTGCCTCCCCACCCCGGACCCTCCCCCACCTCCTCCTCCTTCCCGAGAACTGGTCATCTTGGCTCCAATTTTTCCCCAGCTGCCGGCCTGCCGAGCATCTGATGAGGAAACCTTCCCATTTCAAAATCTGCTGCAGAATGAAGGCCAATGCCGGGAGCCCAAGGTCCTCTGCAGTCTGGTGACTTCTTTTCCGGCTCCACTGACCAGGATGCCCCTGTACGTGTGCCTGTGCTCTGGGTCCAGCCATGCCGGCCCCCTGTCCTCAGGTGACTAGCCTGGCACCTTCTGCCTTCAGATCTTTGTTCATGTGCAAGTGGCATTTCAGGGGAAAGGCTGAGTAGGTGGCAAAGAGGAAAAGCTGCTCCTGGCAGAGGGAATGGCACCCGAGAAGGCTCCCAGCTGGAAGAAAGCCTGGACATCTGGAGTGGCCGGAAGAGAGCAAGCCGATGGCGTGAGGTCTGGGAAGGCTGGCAGGGAGCGGGGACGCCTGGGTGCCATGATGGGCCTGAGACCTTGGCCACAAGGCCTCGGGGCGGGGCTGCTCAGGACAGCATTAGTCAGGTGCCCTCCCCGCCCGGTGACCCCCTGCCAGGGACGGAGCCTCAGGGATGGTTCACCAGGGTTCAGCAGAGCACCTGTCAAGTGTCAGGGGCCTGAGGAGGCACAAAGGTTCACTGCCCTTGCCCTGAGAAACTCGAAACTTGCTTGCGGCCTCGGGGGGAAGGATCGGGGTTACAGAATGTAAGGAGCCTACATGAGGCGCCTGCCTCAACTCTGTCTCCACTGCCCTTGCTGCTTCCTCTGACCAGACCCTTCCCCCTGCCTCCCTGGCTGAGCCCCCTCCTCCTCCTGCAGTTTCTATCAGAGGGTAGTCTTCCTCCAGGAAGCCGCCCCGATCCCATCTGCGTTAGGGGCTCATGCTTATCCCTCCTGCACCAGACTGTGTCCCAGACAATAGGGTCAGCACCACACCACTTCTGGACCCCCCAGGGCCTGGCACGCTGGGGGCTCAGCAGGCAGTTAATAAAGGGAGGAAGAGGGGTGCCTGGGTGGCTCAGTTGGTTGAGGGCCCAACTCTTGGTTTCAACTCAGGTCATGATTCCAGGGTCGTGGGATCAAGCCCGGTGTGGGGCTCCACACTGAGTATGGAATCTGCTTAAGATTCTCTCCCTCTCCCCCCCTGCCCCTCTCCCCCCTACCTGCCTGTTCTCTCTCTAAAAAATAAATTAAAAAAAAAAAAAAAAAAAGGAAAGGAAGGAAGGAAAGAAGGAAAGATGAGCAGAGCACAGACTGATTCTCAGGAGGTGAGTGAGTGCAGATGGTTCTGTACATGTGGCCCCACCTGCGAGCAGCCCCTGCTGCCCCCCACTCAAACTCACCCCCAGGAACCCATCTTTGCTCTTGGTCATGGACTCTGGGATCAGAGGCTGGAATCGGGCTTCGATGGTGAGCGTCTCCTCACTGGGGTCAAGAGGCAGCTCCTCTTCCTCATAGCTGGCGGCCGGGGTTGAGCCTATGAGACACAGTCAGTCGGGTCACTGGAGAGAGGCCCTGCTCTCAGGCTGCAGGACCTCTCTTCTCGGGGAGATCCCACCACCCCCCAGAATGGCAGGTGATTGAGGGAGCCTGGCTTGGAGCTGGAGTAATAGTTAACAAACCAAAGTAACAATAAATAAGTATCACATTTCCATTTCACTGTAGCTCTGAGATGCAGAGAATACTGTTATTACCAACTCTATGTTACACATGAGAAAGTAGAGGCTCAGAAAGGTAAAGCCACTTCTCAAAGGTCACACAGCCAGGCAGTAGGGGGAGTCAGGATTCAAACCCAGGCTTGTTGTACTCTAAACCCACAATCAACCAGGACCCTCTTCTGAGGGCGCTGTGACCTCAGAGACTCGATTTCCTTAAAGGCTCAGGAACCAGATAAGCTAGGTTCAAATCCCACCCCTTACCAGCCATGCGATGTTTGGCCAGTGGCTTGTTATGAGGACTGGATGAGCGAATCCACGAAGCCTTAGCACCAGGTTTGGTACAGGGTGAACTTGTAATAAACTTGACCTGTGTTATTCCTACCAGGGGTTGCAGGGCCGGGGAGCCACGGAGCTAGGGCTCAAACTGAATTCTTCTGAGTCCATCCCGTGCTTTCTACCAGGCCAAGCAGGCTGCAGAAAGGACATTCATGTCCCCTCTCCCTTTGTCCTGCAAACTGAGTCTGAGATGAACTTGGGGTTGGACCCACCAAAGGCAGCATCTGGGCAGGCGGCTGCCTCTCCCAGGGGCCGGGCTCCTAGCACCGAAGACAAGCTACTCTCTGGGGCTCAGAGAAGAGAGCACAGGGGCTCCAGGCTGAGGTCAGTTCCACCTCCTGGGTGATCTGGGGCAGATCTCTCAGCCTCTCTGGTTTTCTCACATGGGAAAGCGAGACCACGCTGCCACACGTGTCACTGCCACAGGGGCCTCATGAGGAAATGAATGCTTATCAGAGAGGCGCTCAGAACAGTGAAAGTGAGGAACAGAACCGTCTTTGACACCACCTTTGGTGTCAAAAGCTCCGAGGTCACAATGTTCTCAAGAACGCCAGTTTGGAAGAGAGGACACTTGCTTCTCCCTGGTTTTCTGGGTGGCCCTGTATTCCCCTCCTGTTTCCAGGAGAGGCTGGAGTGGCAGGAGCTGAACTTGATTTCTTAGATCTCTACCTCCCCAAGGCATACCAAGTCCAAGGCTTTCAAGTGTGGACGGAGTCATGATGAAGATTTAGGGAGAAATGAAGCCAATTTCAGAAGGGGTGACTGACAGCAGGGGAAGCCCTGGCCACCTCTATGGAATAAGGCAGCGAGTGGAAGGGCTTGTTACGGCTGTGGTCCCCAGGCAGGTTCGTGGTACAGAGATGATGTGTGGCATCTGATGAACCGAGTGACAGACCAACTGGGTGCATCTGGAGCAATTCTTCACCAGGAATCATCAGAATCACCCCGGATGCCTTTTTAAACTACAGATGCCCCAAATCCTCCTCAAACCTACTGAGTCAGAATCCTGAGGGGCTGGGGTATCTGGGTAGCTCAGTCGGTTAAGTGTCTGGCTTCTGCTCAGGTCATGATCTCATAGTCCATGGGTTCGAGCCCTGTGTCCAGGCTCTGTGCTGACCACTCAGAGCCTGGAGCCTGCTTTGGATTCTGTGTCTTCTCTCTCTGCCCCTTCCTTGCTCACGTCTCCATCTCTCTCTCTCTCTCTCAAAAAGTAAATAAACATTAAAAAATATTTTTCTTTTAAATAAAAAAAAAGAATCCTAAGGGGCTAGAATGTGGAAGCTACCCTTTTAATCAGCACTCCCCAGCAGCTCCTGATGCAAACCCCTGTTCTCAAGAACCAGTTATTCCTGCATTTGTAAGCCAATCCTGCAAAACTTTCCACAGAGCAATCTGGAAACCTCAGAAGAAGGGGATAATAGCAATGGGCAAGCTTATTAGCCTGCCTGGCTTTTTCAATTCTTTTACTGTTATCACAGATAATTATTAATAACAATGTCCAGTATCTTACGACCTTATGGTTTTTTACATAAAAAGTTTTATTTCCAAACTTACAAGTAACTCATTACAGACAATTTGTAAAATCTTTAAGATATAAAGAAACTTAAACACACTCATAACCATGCCAACTAGACAGCCTGCTTCTATTTCCTGTGTGGATGTGATATTTTTGGCTTTGTTTTATTTTTTGTTTTCCTGAAACGTGGTCCAGTTTTGCCCTCACAGTGGCCAAGGAGATAACGGAGAGAGGGATTATTTTCCCCTGATGGAGAAATAGATATTTGTGGAAAAAAAAAAAAAAAAAAAGGAGGGGGGCCTGGGTGCCTCAGTCAGTCAAGCATCTGACTTCAGCTCAGGTCATGATCTCACAGTTCGTGGGTTCGAGCCCTGCCTTGGGCTCTGTGCTGACAGCTAGAGCCTGGAGCCTGCTTCGGATTCTGGGTCTCCCTCTCTCTCTGTCCCTCCCCTGCACACGCTCTGTCTCTGTCTCTCAAAAATAAATAAATGTGTAAAAAAAAAAACAAAAAAAAAGATTTTTTTTTTTAAATTTCTAGGAGAGAGAGAGAGAGAGAGAGAGACAGCGTGAGCAGGGGAGGGTCAGAGAGAGAGGGAGTGACAGACTCTGAAACAGGCTCCAGGCTCTGAGCTGGCAGTCAGCACAGAGCCCGACGTGGGGCCCGAACCCATGAACCGCGAGATCATGACCTAAGTGAAAGTCGGATGCTTAACCGACTAAGCCACCCAGGCGCCCCCCTTTTTTTTTTTAAAAAAAAAGAAAAAAAACAGATTTATGTGAACAAAATTAAAAGTGCCCTCAGGCCCAGCAAGCTTGTCATTATGAGGGAACCCGCTGTCTCTGTCCATAAAAAAGGACAAAGAGGTGGCTGTGCGGATCCTCAGGGAGCCTTTGCAGAATAAGAGGTCAAAGCAAGTCGCATGAGGCTGACCTGTTTACCTGCCCATCTGCTTGCACGACAGACCTGGATGTCACTGAGGGACACTGACACATGTCTGCTCCAGCAGATTCGCATTTCTCACCTGATCCTCCTCCTCTGGCGGGAACTGTGGTCACGGGGCCAGCAAGCGGCCCACCTCCCTGACCCAGCCTGAGACACGGAAAGCCCAGCACTGTGCCTTGGTGTTGGCTCACCCGACAGCAGCCAACATCTCTCCCCTGCCGTTCCCATCTACTGACCTCCTTACACCTACCAATCTGGATCCCAAGTTCAAGAAATGGGTGAGAAATGGACACTGCGGTTGGGGCGATGGTGAGACAATGAGAGGCATTTAATAATTCATTAGAATGTTTTAGCTCCTTATCTTTATATAAAAAAATAACTGATTACAATTAGGTAAAAATAGATCGCCAGGATGGGGTAGGAATCTGGCACCTAAGCAGAGGTGAATATTGAGTAATGCCAGGAAGAGCTCTTGTCTGTTGAACAGCTACTGTATACTCTGCAGATCCCATCTCTCCCCCTCAAACCTGTGAACAAGTGCAGGACCTGGAGCCAGATGGCCCCGGCTCTAATCCTGGCTCTGTACCTCCCTGTGCCTCAGTCTCCCCACCTATAAACATGAAAATTATGACAGTGGCTACCCCGCAGGGCACTGTGAAGATTAAAGAGAGAACTCAGATGAAGTGCTTAAAGTCATGTCTGGAAGTGGTCAGGCAACGTTAACTAGTATATTTGCACCTGAGAAGAGGCTCAGGCAGTACCAGAACAGCTTGCCCCAACCATCAACTAGAAGGTGTCAGAGCAGGGAGGAGGCCGGGGCTGTCAGGACCCATAATGTCCCTCTCCAGGTGGCCTTCCAGCTCAGAGCAAACACAGTGGCCAAGAAACTAAGGGCGGTGCCTCGGTGTCCCCCTCCCCAATCCCCAGCCTCTCCTGGTACCTGTCAGCTTCTCAGCAATGGGCTTGAACTCCTCTGGGCTGATGTACATATCCCGGTCTGTGTCCAAGGAGGAAAAGAGAAAGAGGCCTTCTGTCCCCAGGGACTTCAGTGCTGACTCCTGCTTGGGAGGAAAGGGGCTCCAGTGAGCACAAACTGAATCCCCAGCTGGGGTCCCAAAGAGGTGGAGGGGGCAACTCTGAGTTGTCAGGACACTTCCAGTCCACCCATTCAGATGTCACCTCTGCACACCCCATACCCCCAGTCGTACCCCCGCCCCTGCTTTCCCTCCCTTTCATGCCATCGTCCCGGTCCACCGGTCCCGACCTTCCATCCCCCTCCAACTCCAAATCGTCCCTCCCCATCCCCTCCCCCGCCCCCTCCGAACTTGCCTCTGCACTCCGAGCCCCCTCCCCTTGCCTCCTTCCGAGCCTCCCCCTCCCGTGCCCCCCGCCGCCCGCTCCGAACCCCGCCCTCCGGGCCCCTCCCCTCGCCTCCTCCGAGGCCCCCACCCCCTTCTAGCCCCCTCCTCCAGCACCCCCTCCCCCAGGCCTGCGGTGAGCCCTGCGCGCCCTTCCCCGCGGGCCAGACCTGCCGCGCGGCCGCCTGGGCCTCGGCGTGGCGGGCAAAGGCCCGGGCGGCGGCAACGGCGGCGGCGGCGGCGAGCAGGGCCCCGAGCAGCGCCAGGGCGCGGGCGCGGCGGGGCGCAGGCGGTGGCGTGGCGGGGCCGGGGTCCCGCGGCCTGCGCTCGCCCGGCCGGACCCGGCCCATGGCGGCGGCGGGGCTGGCGGACTCGCGGCGGCGGCGGCGGCGGCGGCGGAGGGGCGGGGCGGGGCGGGGCGGGGCGGGGGGCCGGCGCGGGGCGGCCTCCGGGCCGTGGGGGGCGGGGGGAGAAGCGGGCGCGGGCCCCGCGCAGGGTGCGGGCTCCCGCGAGCCGAGCGACTCAGTGGAGCGGTGCCCGGACGCCCCGCCACCCGCCTGCCAGCCCGGCCCCGCCGTCGCCGAGCCGCCTTCCTGCGCTTCAGCTCCCGCAGAGGAAGCGGGCCTGGGCGTCCAGCCGGCAGAGGCCCGGGAGGCGGCGGGGCGGGGGTCGCGTCCGCCTCAGTCGGCCAGAGGAGGGTACCCCTATCGCACCTGCTTTCTAAAACGTCTTCAGTCAACGTCTTACAAGGAAAGTCCAAGCCCTATTCCAGCCCCTTCATGGTCCAGCTGGAAGGCCGTCTCTGCACATTTGCGGGGTAGGGCGGGCGGGGGGATCTACTTGTTCAAGGCCACATACAGGTGGTGCGGCCCTGAGACCCTCACCTGCTGGGCCCAGAAAGTACTCACCTGTCAGAAGAGGCCCTCCCAGCCCTTTGGGGTGTGGAAGAAATCCCTGGGCTTGTGGGGCTGGTGGCCCCTTGGCGCCGGCAAGGCAGGACTGTGACTTGCCAGCCACTCTCCCCTCTGCTGCACGTCGCATGGCCACAGGAGTGATTTTTCTAGAGAACAACCCTTGGCATGCTTGGAGGAGGACCCTGGGAATGGAGGCGGGTGGAGTTGGAAGAAATACTGTTGATCCGCCAGTGTCGGTACTTTTGGTTCCTGTCTCCAGGAACCTTCTTTCCCCCAGGCCCTCTTCCATCCGTTCAAGGTCTCCAGGAGCGGGGGTGGGAGGGATGGCTCTGTCTTCCCCAGGAGGGGGCAGCAGCTGCCGAAGCCTCTAGACAAGAACCCTGGCTGCGGAGAACAGCTGCACCATCCTGGAAGATCACTGCCAGCCCGCGTGCACCTGCACCTGTCGGGCCCGCGGTGATGGAGGGATGGGACAGGTACCGAGCACCACTGTGCTGGACTTGGTGCTGCGTGCCTTAAGCTCTTAGCTCTTCTCAGGCAGCCCCGAGAGGTGAGGGTTGTTTGCCTCGTTTTTCAATTAAGGAGCCTGAGCTCAGGCACCCAGGTCTACCCGAGTCCAAATCTCCTGCCCGGCTGCCTTGCAGGGGATGGCCCAGCAGATGGGGGTGGGGGTGGAGGGGTGGGGGGAGGGAGGACTTTCTTCTACACCGCGTCAGCCCTTCATGGATAACCAGCTATGAGAGCGCCCTGTGGGCGGGGCCCATCTTCCCAGAGCCCACACAGGACCTCACACATGCTGGGCGCCCCAGTGTCTTTCGACGAATGACTCCCAGGGACCAAGACTTGTAGGCCGTGGACCTAGCTTTTGCCCAGTGCTCTGGCCGCAGAGCCTCAGGGGGACCCGCCGAGGGCCTGACATCTGCCGTTGGCTTCCGAAGGGTTCCAACTGTGTCCCTTCCAACTCATTACCCCTAATGTTTGGGGACTCCCTGCATTCGACAGATGCTATTAGAAAACCAAATTTTGCTCTATGAGGAAGCAAAACTAACAGAGCACAAAGCAGGTTGGGAGGGGAAGATTGATGAGCCAGGGCCCCTGGAAAATAAATGAGGGAAGTTTTCTTTGCCGGTGACTTTTATTTATTACACTTGCTTTTTGTTAAAGACACAGACCCCCCTCTGGTCTCTGCGGCCCAGGGCTGGGGAGATGAGCTGCTGGGGCCGGGAGGGCGCTGGGGTGAGGCGTGGGTTTGCAAGACTTGACTGAGGTCAGTGAGCCTCTGGCAAAGGGACCAGTCTCGGGCCCCAGCTCTGGGAACCCAGCTCCGGGCCTTGGCAGTGGAGCAGGACTGGGCGTCCCGCTGGTGGCACCTTTCCCAGAAGGCTTGTCTCTAAACCAAGGACCTGGGCAAGGCAGGGCCTGGAGAGCCTGGGCCAGCGGGTGGTTCTGGCCAGGGGCGGTGCCGCACGGGCTTTTGGGCACCTTGTTTCTGGGCCATGAGTGGGCAAATGCACTTGAGGAAATGGAGGCATCTGGTGCCACCATGAGAGGAGCTTTACCTGCCTGGACCCCACGGGCCTCTCGAGCAACTAAGTGCCCGCTAGGGGTCAGGAACCAGTCTAGGCTCCTGGAGCAGAGAAGTGAAGACAGATGAGGTACTTCCTCTTTTGGAGCTAAATACCGTAGCAGGAAGAGAGAGGCAATAAACACCCCAGAGAAGATACCTTTGGATAACGGTAACTACGAAGGGGTAAGTCAGGGTGGCACAGAGTGGCGTGGGGTCAGGCAGCTTCCCCAGGAGGTAGCATTTACGTGGCAGCCTGAGTAGAAAGAGGTCAGCTCCTGAAGAGCGAAGGACGGGCATCCCAGGCAGGGGTGCAAGTGCGGAGGCCCCGGAGTCGGAGACAGATTTGATGCGTTCAGGAAACCTGGAGAAGGCAGAGCAGGCCGAGTGGAGGGAAGAGCAGGAAGGGCTGGTGGCAGAGGCGGGGCCCAGGCAACAAGCCGCATGTAGATGTTACGGGAAACCATTGTAGGGTTTTAAGGGGGGGGTGACATGTGAGTTGTTTTTCTTTTTCTTCTTTTTTTTAAATTAAGCTTTTTATTTTAATTTCCGTAGTTACCTGATTTGTCTTTAAAAAGACCTTTCTAGGGGCGCCTGGGTGGCTGATTCGGTTAAGTGCCTGACTTCAGATCATGACCTTGCAGTTTGTGAGTTCGAGCCCCGCGGTGGGCTCTGTGCTAAGAGCTCAGTGCCTGGAGCCTGCTTCCGTTTCTGTCTCCCTCTCTCTCTCTCTCTGCCCCTCCTCCACTCACTCTTGTCTCTCTCTCTCGCAAAAATAAATAAACATAAAAAGAAAGAGACCGGGGCGCCTGGGTGGCTTAGTCGGTTAAGCGTCCGACTTTCGCTTAGGTCATGATCTCGCGGTTAGTGGGTTCGAGCCCCGCGTCGGGCCCTGTGCTGACTGCCAGCTCAGAGCCTGGAGCCTGTTTCAGTCTGTGACTCCTTCTCTCTCTGACCCTCCCCTGCTCACGCTGTCTCTCTCTCTCTCCTAGAAATAAATAAAACATTAAAAAAAAAAAAAAAAAAGAAAGAGACCTTTCTAATAGCCAGCAAGGAGAAACAACCCAAGTTTCTACTGATGAATGGATAACCAAAATGTGGCAGGCCCCCACAATGAGTATTTTTGGGCAATAAGAGGAACAAAGCACTGATATGTGCTACAACACAGATAAACCTCGAGGACATCATAGTAAAAGAAAGAAGCCAGACACAAAGACCACACACATATTGTAAGATTCCATTTATATGCAGTGCCCGGAAAGGCCAATCCACAGACGCAGAATGGAGGTTCATGTTTGCCTGGGAATGGGTGAGGGTAGCGAGTGTCTGCTAATGGGCACACGGCCTCTTTGGAATATAAATGTTCTTTGTGGATTTTTTTTGCTTGTTTTTAATGTTCTTTTTTTTGGTTTTTGTTTATTTATTTGAGAGAGAGTGCAAGCAAACAGAAGAGGGGCAGAGAGAGGGAGAGAGAGAGAATCCCAGGCAGGCTCTGCAGAGCCCGATAAGGGGCTCAATCCCACGAACTGTGAGATCATGACCTGAGCTGAAATCAAGAGTCAGACGTGTAAGTGACTGAGCCATTCAGGCGGCCCTGGAGGATAAACGTTCTGACATTAGATTGGATGGTTGGACATCTATGGTGATGGTGGTACAGCCCTATGAATGTACTACAAAAACACGAATTGTACGCTTTAAGTGGGTGAACTTTATCGCATACAAATCATATCCTAATAAAGCTGGAGTGGTTTTTTGTTTGTTTGTTTGTTTTATTAAGACCTTTCTGGATTCTGGGTGGAGACTAGACTGAGGGAGTGAGGAGGCTGGTTCAGTCTCCCAGCCCAAAGACGACAGGGCCTTTGGCTGGGCGGGCCACACGGCCCGTGTCGGGTGGATGGTGGTGCCATTCCCGAGGTGGGAAAGCCTGAGAGGCCCTGGCTGCTGTGTGGCCATGATGCTGAGCCGCCACGTAGAATGCCACGTGGAGGTGTCAGAGAGAGAGCCTGTGCGGTTTATAGGGACCATAGACTTGTGAGTCGCCAGCCTACAAATGGCACTAAAGGCTACAGGATTCAGTGGGATCACTGAAGGAGAGGGAAGAGGCCTTTGGTTTGCGTGGCCTGGGCAGCTGGTATGTGGCCACAGATGTGGCTGCGCCTTGGAGCTCTGCGCGGCTTTGGCCAGATCCACAGGCACAGGGCAGATGCTGTGATTAGCCAGAACATAGATGAATTGTTGGGAGGCTGGGGGGGGCTCACAACAGCCTTTGGCTGGGCTCTCGTCCTGTCCAGGCAGGCACATTTGTTCCCTGGGGTCAAGAAAGGCCTGCCTGTAGGGCTCTGTCCACACGGACAGCTTTATTCTCAGCACGATGGGCTCAGGGGCCCTGGGTCGCCTAGTGGGGCTGCCACTAGCTTGTTAGCCCAGCGGTTCTGACCCCGGTCAAGGTTGAGTATCCCCGGGCTGCAGCGGGGGATTTTTCCCAGGATTATTTCCTGGGCGGGGGGTTTTGGAGAGCTGAGCAGCGAATGCCAAGTCCCAAAGAATTTTTCCTTTTTATAAAAACACCCTTCCTCAGGGGTGCAGGGTGGTTGAGTATCTAACTTCAGCTCAGGTCATGATCTCCCAGTTTGTGGGTTCGAGCCCCGCCTTGGGCTCTGTGCTGACAGCTAGAGCCTGGAGCCTGCTTCGGATTCTGGGTCTCCCTCCCTCTCTGCCCCTCCCCCACTTGTGCTCTGTCTCTGTCTCTCTCTGTCTCTCTTTCAAAAATAAATGAACATTAAAAAATTTTTTTAAATAAAGAAAACACCCTTCCTCCAATCCTGTTGCTCATTCAGGACTGGAGGCTGAGCCTCTCAGATGCAAAGAGAGCCGAGTTTCGTGCAAGCCACAAAAAATGAGTTTGAACACTGGGCACCTTCAAATGGTTAGTGTCAGGCCTAGGAAGATGGTGGCAGGTTAACAGCCCCGAGCTCTGCTCCTCATGTCTGTTTTGAACTGTGGCCAGGGCCAAGGAGAGAGCAGGGGTCGGGGCGATCAAGCTCCCGGTTTGCCCAGGATGGAGGGGTGCTGAGGCAGGGGGCTACTCAGTTTGAAAAGCAGCAGAGGGGCGCCTGGGTGGCTCAGTCGGTTAAGCATCAGTCTTCGGCTCAGGTCATGATCTCACGGTTTGTGAGTCTGAGCCCTGCATCAGGCTCTGCTGACAGCTCGGAGCCTGGACCCTGCTTTGGATTCTGTGTCTCCCCCGCTCTCTGCCCCTCCCCTGCTTATGCTCTCTCTGTCTCTCAATAATAAATAAACATTAAAAAAAATTTTAAAAAGGAAGAAAGAAAAGCAGCAGAGTCCTGGGCAAGCGGGGATGAGCAGGTCCCCCACCGAGGGAGGGTGTATCTCAGAGGGCCTGTGGGGCGCTTAGTTGTGCGCTTCAGAGGTTTTAGCCACAAAGCAGTAGAAAAGGGATTTATCATGGCCAGACAGAAAAATATAAGAGCCCTTATTATATGGCAGATAGGTTGTTATAAGTTGTCTCATATAAATTAAACAGAAAACTTAAAGACTAAGAAGAGGGGTGCACCTGGGGGGGCTCAGTTGGTTAAGCATCCAACTTTGGCTCAGGTCATGATCTCACAGTTCGTGGGTTCAAGTCCCACATCCGGCTCTGTGCTGACAGCGCATAGCCTGCTTCAGATTCTCTGTCTCCCTCCTTCTCTGTCCCTCCCCCACACTTTCACTCTCTCTGTCTCAAAAATAAGTAAACATAAAAAAAAAAAAAGACAAAGAGGGAATTCAAAGGCTCTGTGTGCCTGAAATCTCTTCTGTGGTGGAAGAGACCCACAGAGTTTTCTTTAGGGATGGCAGGTTTTGAGGGAGAGCAGCAGCAGGGACAGGGTAGGACTCTCTGAGTGCTGGAATGTTCTCTATCTTGATGGCGGGGAGGCTACATGAACGTGTACACAGGTGAACATTCCTGGAGCTGTACACTCAAGATTAGTGGCCTTTACACACCTGACTGTCTACACCGTGGCTCAGTCAAAAAGTTCTTTTAAAAAAGTTTCATTTAAAGGCTCAAGGGAGGGGCGCCTGGGTGGCTCAGCTGGGTAACTGTTTGACTTCAGCTCAGGTCATGATCTCATGATTCATGGGTTCGAGCCCCGTGTCTGGCTCTGTGCTGACAGGTGGGAACCTGGAGCCTGCTTCAGATTCTGAGTTTCCCTCTCTTTCTCTGCTCCTCCCCTGCCTCATCCTTTCTCTCTGTCTCACGAATAAATAAACGTTGAAAAAAATTTTTAAAAAAAGGCTCAAGGGAAATACGGGACTAATTTAAAACATAAAAGTCGAATGAAGGAAGACACGGTGATTGAGCTGGAGGGAGGAAGGGTTTCCTTAAGAGGAAGGTCAAAGACGGGGAGACAAAGACAAAAGGGGAGAGGAGGCACAGGGTCCTGACCTCTGGACATATTTGTTCTTCAGTAGGAGGGATCCCGGACACACTGCAGAGCGAGAGAGAGGCAGGACCTCAGAGAGCAGGTCAGATGTTTTCCCCAAGCAGCAGGGGACCGTGGGCCGCACGGGAGGGCCCCTGAGGCCGCTGTGGGTGCCAGCAGTCAGGGTGGCCTCCGTGGTGCTCAGTTGAGCCTTGGGCAGGGGAGGTGCTGAGGCCACATGGTGACTGTAGGTGGCGAGCCTCATGCTGGGGGCACGTGTGGAGTCAGAGCCCTGCGGGGAGTGCTGGAAAGGTGACCAGGGCAAAGGGCAGGGCCTGCGACCAGGAGACACGGGGTGGATCCAGGCCCGTGCAGGACGCTCCGTGGGAGGCCGTCTGCTGGTTAGAATTACCCATGGGGTAGGGGTCAAGGTAGACATGATGCCTGGGACTCAGAACTCATGGGCATCCTACCTGCCACAGATCCAGAAGATTCCAGAGAGTAAAGAGAAGGCCCCCAGGGCCGGAAAACAGCCTTGGTTCTGCACGTGCTGGCAAAGGACAAGGGCCGTCTTAGGAAGCAGCTGCTGTTTTCAGGGGCACAGCGGGACCTGCTGGGCAGAGGGGAGGAGGTGTGGGAGCAGAGGTCAGAGGAGGAGCCCGGGGGGGTCTTGAAATCTCCCGCGCAGCTCGCTCCCGCTCCCGGAAGGGGCCCAGGGCCCAGCAGAGCTTGGCCCGAGGCAGGAGGCCCCTGCTCTCTCCGTGCTCCTGGGGGAACCGGTTTCAGAAGCTTCTGCTCAGGAACCTGAGAACAGTTTCGGCTGAGACAGATGTGAGGGCAAGAGGCATCCCGAGGGCCTCCCCCCGCCCTGCCAGAGTCAGAGGACACTTTCAAAATGCAAAGTAGGTCATCTCCTGGCCCTACTTTAACCTCTTCCCTGCATCTTGCTGCTCAGACTTGAATCAGCCTCTGCCCCGGCCCTCGAGGCCCTGCAGGATGGAGCCCTGTCCCTCCGGCTTCCTCTGACCCTCGGGACGGCGACCCGCATTCACCTGCGGCCTTCCCCCTCCTCGGGTTCGCCACTACTTCCTACCTCTGAGCCTTTGGGTCCTCTGTTCCACTGCCCGGAATGGTCTGTTACACAGGTCTGCTGCCCCGGGGGGCATCCCTGACCTCCCCATCTCCAGTGTCCCTCTGTCACTCTCATATGTCCCCTGCCCGTGGCCTCCCAAGCATTTACCTCCGTCTGCACCCACCTTACTGACGTGTTTGCACTTCTGTCCCGGCCCCGCCCTGCCACTGGTCTGGAAGCCCCAGGGGGTACAGGAACCTTGTCTGTTGTGTTGAAGCCGCAGTTCTAGCACCGTGCCCATTGCCCAGCAGAGATGGTTCATGGCCACTTGTGGAATTACGAAGCCTGCCTGGAGGGTTCTGGAATGGTGGCCTGAGCGGCAGCGATGAGCCCCATAACCTGCAAAGGTCTGGGGGTGGGGCCTGAGAATTTGCATTTTTAACAAGCTCTCGGGGGGGCTACTCGAGCCTCAGACCTGGCTTCCATACTCCGGGAACCACCGATCTAATGACTGGCCAGTGCTGGATCATTCTGTGGGCCGAGCAGAGCCTCCCGCCCTTGGTGGCAGGAGTCCTCCCTAGGGACTGGCGACTGGGGCGAGGGGCTCCTGCGGGTCGGGGCAGGAGGGTCCCGGTGCCTCCCCACAGGGAGACTACAAGGCTGGGCAATAAATCCAGAGCCTGGGGAGAGGGAGGCTGAGGTGTGTGCACCTGCCTGCATGTGTGTGTGAGAAGCCTTTCCCTCTACTCAGCCCCTCGACTGGGGACGTCCCCACTTGGTGAGTGGCCTGAGTCTCCTCTGTCTCCACGGGACAAGGGGTGGACCCACCAGCGGGTGAACTTGGTGAACCCTGACACTCCCATCATTTTACCCAGGGGAGGGGTCACCACACCGCCCAGAGGGCCGCTGGGCCTGTGAGCTCACACTCCACCTTTCTGGGACCTTGCTGTCCCACGGTGGGAAGAGCTCCCGTTCTCCCACCCCACACACTTTCTGGAATCTACAGTCAGCCCATAGCCCAGACAGCTCCCAGAGCCCTTGCAATGCAACCGATCATCACCCCCCACCCCATTCCCAGTTGGCTGGAACTCGTGGGAGTTCCAGCACATTTGTTGCTGCCTACAACATGTTGGGGGTCCAAAGGTGAGGACAAGGTCCCCGGGATCTATCGGGGAGAGGCTCATGCAAACCCGTGTCTGCCCCGGAAAAGGAGTTTTAAAGCCTGTTTCAAGGGAAGGGCAGGAAGAGATCCAGGAAGGCTTCATGGAGGAGGTGACATGGAGGGCAGCCTGGAGGAATTTAGTAGGCATACCTGGGGGGCGGGAGGGGCCAAGGACAATCTGGGTAAGAGGCCCAGGGCTGGAAATGCACGGAAGTATGTGACATTGTATACAGTTCCAGTTCGGTTTCCAAAGGAAAGACTCTGGGCCATTTGGCATGCTTTTTGGGTTGGGTTTTACCATATTCCCTAAATCACCAAAGTCTTCTGGGAGCCAGATCTCAGTCACTATTCTTTTCACTTACACCAGGGAGGACACATCATTTGTTGTCCAAATTGGGACACTTTTGAGAGCAAGGGGGGCGTTGTGAATGAATGTGCTAGAACAACAGGTTTGGAAACTAAACTCTCACGAGCAAATGTCACAAGCAAATGTCATGAGCGGGGTGAGGGCCACCCTAGATTGGGGGTCATTTATGAGAGGAAGGGAGATGAAGGGTGTAGACGTGACGGGGAGAGCACTGCGGGCTTCTGTAGGGGGCTCAGGGACAACTGATTGACCCAAGCAGGCCTCCCTGCACCTCAAGTTCCTGTTCTGTGGGTCTCTGCCTGCCGTGCCCCCTCCTCAAGTGGTAGGGATTCTTAGGGACTTCCCAAAGAGGAAAGATGAATGGGACCTCAGCCTCGCCCCCTAAAGCCAAGGCAAGCTCCCAGCATCTCCCCTCAGCCCTGCGCCCCTGCCCGAGCACCCCCTCAGCCCTGCGCCCCTGCCCGAGTACCCTCACAATTGGGCCGGCTCCTGGAAGCCCTTGGATTTTTCTCCCAGTTTCCGAATTTCATATTTCAGGGCTAACGGCAAAATGCTTGTTCAATGCGAAAGTGGAAAATGTTCAGATTTATTGCTTTGAGATTTTGGTTTGTCTCCTGGGCCTGGTTGATGCAGTTCCCTCCAAGTTTCAGAGCATTTTGTTTAAAAAGGAGAATTTTGGACAGCAGCGTTTTCTAGTTTACAGAGAGCGTTCACATAATAGCAGCAACAATCATCACTCTATGTATTGAGTTACTGCACTGGGGAGCTCCATTAACCCTCAAAATCACCCTCTCTTTCCACAGAGGCAGGCAGAGGCCCAGAGAGTTAAGGGGCTTGCCCAAGGTCACACAGCCCAGGGAAAGGGAAGGGTACAGCTGAACCCAGGTTTCAGGCTGTGCTTGCCCTCTCCTCTCCTGCCTTTCTTACCTTCAACTTGACCTAATGCACACAGATCTGCAGATACACCAGTGGGTGAGAGCAAAACAAAACAAAAACCAGACACTCTTGTAGAAAACAGAGGCTGGAATGAGTATAAAAATAACCAAGTACGTCCAAGGGAACCCTCAACTCCCCAAACAATATATTTTGTGCTAAGATTATTTTTGTAATGATGCAGGTGGTGGAGGGTCCAGTGGGGCAAGGAGTCAGTGAACAGAGGACTGGCTTTCTAAGTTCTAGGACTGCACTGTTCAAAATGGTGCCCGGGGGCACCTGGGTGGCTCAGTTGGTTAAGCGTCCGACTTCGGCTCAGGTCTTGATCTCATGGTTCATAAGTTCGAGCCCCGCATCGGGCTGTCTGCTGACAGCACAGAGCCGGCTCTGGATCCTCTGTCTTCCTCTCTCTCTGCTCCTCCCCCATTAGGGCATTCGCTCTCTCTCTCTCAAAAATAAATAAACACTAAAAAATAAAATGAGATAAAATTTAAAATCTTAGTTCCTCAGCTGCACTTGGCACATTTTAAGTGCTCAATACCCACCATGGGGCCGCCCCATCGGACAGCACAGATCTAGACTATTTCTGACACGGCAGCAAGTTCTGCTGGACAGCATTGTCTTAAGCCACCAGCAAGCCTGGTCCTGTCTCGTCTGGACTGTCCTGGAGGGGCAGGAGCCACTGACGCAGGTGATAACGTCCCCTGTAGCCAAGGTACCTCTAGAACCCATCCCAACACCCGAGCCCCTCTCTGGAGATAGAGATAAAGGACAGAAACCAAAAGAGCGGCCATCGGGGGAGGCCTTGCTACTCAGTGTGGCCTGAGGACCGGCAGCGGCAGCATCTCCCAGGAGCTCGTTAGAAGCGCAGTGTCTTGGGCTCCACGCCCAACCCGCTGAATATGAATCTGCATTTTAACAAGGTCCCCAGGTGATTCAGGTGCACATTCAAGTTTAAAAAGCTCTGTCTTAAGAGACAGGAGGAGCAGGATCAAAATATTGTTCCAAATATAGGGAACCAAACAGATATTTTTAGATACAGAAAACTAGCATCAGGACCCTCCCCTCCCCCATTACCCTGTGCTTAAGCCTTAGTCACAGAGGGCTGAGCACCTCTGTGCCATATAATCAACGAGCATATTTCCAAGGACAGAGCCCCAGTGGGGTCACAGGGAGGAACTGGCCCTTGCCCATTTCCAGCACCTTCTCAAACCTCGAAGAGGTCCCCTCCCCAAAGCAAAGCAGACACAGCTGAGATTCACATTGTGGGTCTCACGGATGCTGCTTTTACATCAGATTTTCTGGTTTTGCTTTATTCTTTCCAGTGCATTTGGTTTGAACTTTGCAAATCGCCAAAGACACACCAGGATGCACGAAGCATCTAAACAGACGCAGCCATCTAAAAGGAAGCATCTGGAGAAGGAAATGTCCCGCTTCTGTGGGCGGGGGGAGTTGCTCCGCAGACCTCACGCCCAGAGCCAGGTGCTAATGAAACTTTCTGGAAGCTGCATCAAGCCCATCTGTGAAGAAAGCAGGTGCAAAAGGTGGTTCCATCAGACGACGCTGCAAAAGAGGCTGGCAGCCTGCGGACCCTCGCCAGGAAAGGAGGATCTGCAGCCGGGAGCGGTTCCAGAGCTGGGCTTCCGAGGCTCCTCCTTCGATGAAAATGACTCATCCCTTCATTTCTCTCTCTTTTCAGCCTACCTTGGGTCTTACTTATTTTTATCCCTGGGATGGCGTGAAGTTGCCAAACGGGTGATATTTCTCCACCTGCAAGGGCCGTCCCGGAGGATGAATTTTAAAATGTTCATTTTTACAGCTTGCTTCCAGCCATAATGCAGAAGACAAGGACGCAGGTGGCAGGAGAGGGGGACAGCAACATGGGCCCGGGAGGGGGTACCGTGTGGCCTTGGGAACCACCCAGTGTCTTTGCAATGGAGAAACATTCCAGGAGTTGACTCCAGGACCGAATGAGGGGAAAGAGGAATGGCCAAGCATGCCTACCTCTCTTTCTAATACTGAAAAAAATCAAAGCAAAACCTGTGAACGGTCCTGCTATTTTTGCCCCACCAGCACGAGGCTACGTCATTTTGGTGGCAAACCTCATTTTCTTCTCCAGGGACCAGCCGGTCCCCCACCGCATGGCAGCCTGGTGGGCGTGTCAGTCAGGAGGCACCGCTGGGAGCACGTGACCCCGGTGAGGCCAATCGGGAGCCCACTTCCTGGAGGGGAGCCTGTAGGATGTAGACACACTTGGGAGTCACCCGTCCTGATGGAGGTGCTGGGGAGACTGTCCCCTGCGTTCTTGCAGCCACTTCCTCTTCCTGGTCCGTCTTGTGGCCTGACTGTTCCTCCTCCTGAGTGCCCAGGAGTCACCCCAGAGCAATTCAATATGTGCTTTTTCCCCTTTTTTCTTTCCTTTTTGGTTTGGTTTTGTTTGCTTAAGTTAGCCAGAGCTGGCTTCTATTATTTGGAACTGAGGGCCCAAACTGTCACAAACCCAAATGCCCAGGAATAGCAGCTTAGATCCAGAAAGCCTGATGGAGAACACGATGGAATCGTCCACAACCAGGGACAGGGAGGAGTGTGTATTCGTTGACATGGAAAAGGTCTTCACGGTATATCGTTAAGAGCAAACGCAGATTATAGTAAAACAGTACAGAGTGTGATACCATGTCTGCAAAATATATTCTGTACAGTTATAGAAAAAAGACCTAGAAGAAAATATAACAGTATTCGTTCTGAAGGGTAGCATGGAGTGTAGTTTTTCTTTTTAGCATAAAGGTACTCCTAACCTTTCCACAATGCTTATGCAGTGGGTTTTTCTGTTTTGTCGTTTTATTTCTTTTTTTTGAAGTTTATTTACTTTTGAGAGAAAGAGAGCACGTGAGCAGAGGAGGGGCAAATAGAGAGGGAGAGAATCTCAAACAGGCTCTGCGCTGTCGGCAGAGAGTTCGACGCAGGGCTCCATCCCACAAACCATGAGACCACGACCTGAGTTGAAATCAAGAGTTAGACACTTAACCGAGTGAGCCATCCAGGTGCCCCTGTTTTGCTTCTTAAAAAAATGGGCACAGACGGGTCTCCGGAGTCACAGTCTCTTGACACCTGTCTGAGGTGACTTCCTGGGTTCAGGCAGGGACTTAGTCACACAAGTCCAGGGTGCCTGCCATGGGGACAGCTCGCCCAGCGCTCTGACTACTGACTAAGAAGGTGCTGGTGGCGTCTGCGCCTCCCGAATGAGGAACGAGTCCTGCCCCCTTTGCTGGGGCACCAACGGATCCCACTCATTCTCAAGCGACCTGGGGGGACGGACGGTACTCCCTGTTTGAGGGAAAAGTGGCCGTCAGGGTGAGGTGACCTGCCCACTGTCTCACACTGAGGACTTAAAGGCAGATGACTTGGCCCAGGGCTCCAACACCCCAGGGGCTACTCAAGTTTATTAATCTCTCCACCCAACGTGGGGCTTGAACTCACGACCCTGGGATCAAGAATCGCATGCTCCTCTGACGGAGCCGGCCAGGCATCCTGGGGCTACTCCAGTGGCCAGAATGAAGGGACTGAGCATGGGGCAGGGCATAGAATTGTCCTGTGAGGTCAGCGGTGTGGACGAGCTGCAAAGGGGAGGAAGGCTCTCCCTTCGCCCCTCCCTGGACGCCTTGCTCTGCACAATGGCCTCAAGGTTGGAGGCCTCCCCTCAGGGGAAACAGGCGATGTTGCTGGGGAGAAGGGGACTGTGGGATGCCCCTCCTGCTGCTCCTGCTCATCTTCTAGGCCTTGAAAGTCGTCTGCTCAGAGAGGCTTTCCTTGATGCCAGGAGAGCAGTCCCGGCCATTAGTACCCTGGCCCCACATGACTCCTTTGTGGCATTTTATACAACTTGCAGTCATGTTACTTATCTGTCAGTTTACTTCACAGTCTGTTTCCCCCTTCTTTTTTTTTTTTAAATTTTTAATGTTTTATTTATTTTTGAGAGAGACAGTGCAAGCAGGGGAGGGACAGAGAGAGGGGGAGACACAGAACCTGAAGCAGGCTCCAGGATCTGAGCTAGCTGTCAGCACAGAGCCCGACGTGGTGCTCGAACCCACAAATTGTGAGATCATGACCTGAGCCGAAGTCAGACGCTTAACTGACTGAGCCAACCAGGCGCCCCTGTTTCCCCCTTCTTGACTGTAGGCTCCCCGAGGACAAAACTTATGACCGATACACTTGTGGCTGTGTCCCCGGCATCCAGCCCAGTGTCTGGTCCCCTACGGGCACTCACCATGTATCTCCTGAATAATAGCAGATCAACATATAACTGGGGGGGGGGCCTGGGGGGTGTGAGCAAGAGGGGCTGGGTTCACCTCTGCCTCTACTGGCTGTATGGCTTCAGGCACGTTGCCGGCGCTCCCTGGGCCTCTTCCAAGCCTTGACCTAAGTATAAACATCCAACTCCATATAAAAGATTAGCTTCGCCCTTCCTGAATTTTTAAGACCAATTTAAGGAAAGGCGATAGAAGTCTTTACCAAACTGTAGATGGAATCAGCCGCTGCTTATTTTTTCTGATAACATTGCAGTGGTTTTCCCAAGAGTCACCGACGTGCGATGAACCCAATCATATTTCTTATTCAATAAACTCTTTTATTGTAAGTTTACAGATTTTTCCATTACCATAATGAAAATAGCACTAGTGATTTGTTAACATTTAGGCCCAAATCAAAAGGCAGCGCCTCCTCAAATGATAAAGGTAAATGCCACATAGTTGAACGAATAGTAAATGTTGGGCAGAAGGCATTTAAAATATAGAAAATGGGGTCAAGGTTTGTGTGTGCAAACACTTTAAGGTTCAGTTTATCAGGATGATACTGCTTTTGAAAGCACATGATTTCGAAACTAGGTAATCTGTGATAAAACACAACTGCAGAGAAAAGGCAAAATCAAGCAAAACAAACAAATAAAAAAACCTTCCCCAAATGAAAGGAAGTGAATCAAATGCATGGGGACAATCGGCAAACCTCCAGTCATTGGGCCCTGGAATATGGCAGGTGAGTGGGTTTCATAGAAATTCTCCATAGGAAGGAAACTGGTGTGACATTTGCTGCGTCTCCGAGTCCTGTCTCCTCACAGAGGAAAAGAAGTTGCTTGTCCGACACATGTGCCCTGGGTCTGCCCGGAATGGGGCCTGCATTCCCAATCCCTTTGAGAACAGTCCCAAATCCCGAAAAGGCAAGGCGACCCTCTGGGCCCCAAGAGCGGCAAGGGAGGCGGGGTCAGAGTTGGCCCCCAACCCTGCCGGGGCTGTCCGAGTGGTTCACGGGGAGGGGGTGGGCCTCCGTGTTGAACACCCAGTCTTCCAGGGAGAGCATGTCATCTTCAGAGAACAGAAGATAGAGGTACCTGCGCCCCAGGGGGAGGGGAGGGAAGCAAAACAGCCTGTCAGTGCTCTGGGGAACGAGGGCCCCACTGGGAACAAATCTCAGAGGTCCCTGTGAAGGGCCTGTGGCTAAGGGTGCAGGGAGGTCTGAGATCCCAAATCCAGTAGGAGGGCTGGTCCCAGGGAAGGAGCTGTGGATGCCTAGTAGGGCACTGAGCCCTGGGGCGCTGCACCTGGTTGAATGCTGGCTCACGCCCCTGCCCTCACTCCGTTACCTCGGACCCATCCAGCTTCATCCAGATACTTCCCCACTTGTGTGAGGATCCTATATGAGAGGCCTGCTGGGACTGCTTATGGTCTAGGGTCTTCTTTTTGCGGTGGCCTGAGTACTGCACCCGTCCAAACTCTTGGGCTGCTCCTTGTGTGCCCCCCGCTGAGGAGACTCTTCACTCAAATAGACGTTAGGGCACTAAAATGAGTACGAGGTTGTGGCTCCAGAGCTCCAGCTTCCCAAGCCAAAGGAATGGCCCATTCCAATCCACTTTCGAGGGCTGAGCACAAGGGGGATGCTCTGGGGCCACCAAGGACTTCCACCCAGGAAGCGAGGGAACAGCGCAACAGCAAAAATGCGGAGGGAAGGTTCGCAGCAGTGACCACTGTCACTATCATTCTCCCCATTTTACAGAAGAGGACGTAGTTTCACAGGACTCAGTAATCTGAGGAGCCCAGTTAAAGGAGGGAACTTAGCACACAGCTAATTAGGGGGTGGAGTCCTGTCCTGTGTCTCTCTGAGTGAGAAACCAGCCTGGCCGGAGGCGCACCCTGGGGGTGTGACCCGGAGATCCCAGCCCCCCTCCCGACCCCTCTTGGGCCCCCCTGTGATGGCAGAACCTGACAGGTGGTGAAGGGAGGGACTGCTGACCCCACCCCTCGCCCACCCCCGCCCTTCATTCCTAAGAAAAGCCCAGTTTCCCTCTGGAAAGAACATCAGCCGAGCCTCAACTCACTTTAGTGTCTCGGCTAGAAAGAAAGTCTGCTGCTTGTTGTCGTGGCTGGGAATGCTACTGTACACATCCTGGATCCCGGAGAAGCCAGCTTCCGTCCGACAGTACTTCTCCAAGGCCTGAGGAAAAGGGAGGCAGCTTTGGGGGGGCTGGTGGAAGAGGAGAGCCCCCCCCCACCCCCACCCAAGACTCACGCCTGCCCAGTTCACGAACGGGCAGGCCCTGGACCACTCGGCTAGGGACCCATGGCATTTGTGGAAGCAGAAGGCCAAATGATTTGTTCGGGGCTCAGCCAGCCTGCCGCCAGGCTGGTGGGACCACACGCCCCGGGGTCCACAGCTGAGCACGTCGTCCCAACGGGCTGTCTGCTCGAGCTCTCCTCCAGGTCTGAACTTGGGGGACGTTCTCTTTGCCCTTCAGGGAACTAGGCTGGTCCGACAGACTCACCCACAGTGGTGGGCAGAGGAAGGCAGTGGAGGGCCGGGACTTGGGGACTGGACCCAGCACACCCCTGGGAATGCCCTGTGCAGATGTGGTCCCTATTCCGGAGGTGGGTAGGCCACGGGCTGCCTGCCTTTTTTTTTTTTTTTTTTTTTTTTTTTTTTTTTTTTTTTTTTTTTTTTTTTTTTTTTTTTTTTTTTTTTTTTTTTTTTTTTTTTTT